TAACCACGAGCTCTTTGTAATAGGTAGCACTTAGAACTTTTTCAAACAGAAACATTTTATTAAATTTCACGCTCACAAAGTTTCCCAAACAGACAGGCAACAGTATAATTGGACATTGGATATACAAGCTAGTTGGAATTATAAATTAATAAAATTTGTCTCGTAATCAACTAATGGAAATGGCTATACTGCAGTAATTACAATAACCACTGCGGTATTTTGTTATTTCCTATCTAACTTCGTTGCGGGTTCAATGACAGTTTAAATTTCTCATGGGGCAAACTTGGCCTTCGTTGGTTAGGTTTTATTGGCGGTCATTCTGTAGGTAGATTCGAACTACACAGGACTAAAGGTGGGAATTGGTATAGTAAGTATGGGAAATTGTAAACCGTACCCATCTACTCGTAAACTGGCTGGCTGTGTTATATTTTAAATCAGTACCTAACGAAAAGTTGCCTAGAGCCACAGCATTTGTATCATTGTCGAAGCGAATTTATCTTTATTCTGCGTTTGTTGTGAATTTTGAAGCTCATAGCTTTACAACAACAACAACAGAAGCATGCAAACAAACTTATTTACCGCATTTAGCATTTTGAAATGTTAATTATGTGTAACTAATCTCACAGCCGTCATATTTTACCTTAGAACCTCTTAGATACTTTGACATTTCCTATTTTCCCCTTTAAAGCCTTCCAAAATTAGGAGACACTGTAGGGCTATAAAAACTTAAATTTGTAGAGACAAAGGCTTGCAATATCAAGGCACACTACAGGGACAATAAAAGTATTGTAAATATAAATTTAAATTAGATTGTTTAAATTAAATGGAATGCTATTTTACCCAATATTAAGCATAATCCTTGTATTGCCAGAGCCTTGGCAGGGTTCTTAGCTTTGTGCTATACATAGAAGACTGCATAGGAACTAAATACGACAGGCCATCAAGGTAAACTTTGATGCATCTTATGTAACTAGTGAAAGCCATTTTACAACAAAAATTGATAGTCTGATGTTATGACACCCTAGTGGTCCCTTGAAACCTCCCTAAGACTTTACTATTGTCTCGTTTTATCGGCATTTCATGGATCATTTTAAACATTAACTATTTACTTATTGTCTTTCTGAGATGGTTTGCAGAGTTCACTCCGCATTGCGCTCTACAACTTTCAAGAATAGAAAATCCTGGATATATCCAGCTGCTCCCAGCTCAAAGGAGCTCTACACTTTTAGTTCTTACAAAATAGAAAATTCTGGAGAAATCTAGATGCTCCTAGCTCCATACCAAGCACGTAAATCGTCATATTGCAAGACACTGTTGTTTAAATATTCAGTCGCTGAAGTGAGCACGCGTATGTTTTCCGATGGCAACCGTCACGTGCTGTGAATCGCTGAATACGTGATTAGTGTCCATCTATAGACTGTAATAAACATACATTCTTAATAAATTAATAATTCTACTTATAACACGTTTTTTCAGCAGCTAATTATGCGATTGCGGTCAAATACCTGCCTTGGCAAGCATAAAAAAAAAAAAAAACTATCATTTCATAGTAAAACAAAGTCGCTCTCGCTGTCTGTTCGCTTACATCTTTTAACTACGGAAAGGATTTTAATGTTTCAGCAATAGATAAGAGTGATTCAAGAGGAAGGTTTTATACCCGTGCGATGTCGGAGCGGGTCGCTAATTAGCAATAAAAAGTTATGAGTAGGTAGGTAAATTAGTCAATAAACAAGGCCAAGAAGAAGGCCAGGTGTAAAAACGAAGTGTAATCTTAGTAACATGTGCGTACGATTCAAAATAAAGCAATGAAACACCACTTTTTAGTCTGGCACTGCATATTTGAATGCTAATTAGGCTTGGTAAACAAAGTAATGAAAAAGAAATCATTTGGTTTTAGTACTAAGAAAATACAATGAGGATAAAACCGAGTTATTCACCGTAGAATCTGGAATAGAATCCCTGCCATTGTACTAAAGTTTCATGAGATGCCATTTGTATCCCAATGACTCATCAGTGACAAACATAATATATAGTTTCTGCACCGGAAACCGGAGTAGCTGTTTCCCTATAAGAGTCGTTTTGGCTCAAACGAAATGGGGAAAAATATAGAGAACTAGCGGCCGCCCGCGACTTTGTACGCGTGGACCCCGTTTTTTTACCGCCTTAGGGGTTGATTTTGCTAAATCCCGTGTTAGTAAATGGAACCGCCATGCAAAATTTGAGACTCCTAGTAGTTGTAATTTCTGAGATTTCGTGGTGAATGAGTCAGTCAGTTCGCTTTTAATAAAAGGTAGAGAAGTTTCGCGAGTTTTATATGAAAGAGGGCTTGTTTCGCGCGTTCGTGTCAAGGCTCTAGCAATTTAACTTCAATGAATGGAGTACGAATTTATTGATTAAATCGATACCTACAGTTAATCGCTTTGAAATGGACAGCGATTATCCTTAATTGCGTACCAACGTTTTTAAATGTATTGGAATGAAACGTACGTTTTAAGGGCCACATGAATATTTAAATTGTGATTGCTCATTACTTACTTTCTAAGGCAAAACACAATTATAATTCTTTGAAACATGAAAAAGTTTGTCGTAAAGGCCATCTTGCCTTGTTCCCAGCGAGGGAACTAGTTTTTAAGCTAACATTCGAGTTACTTTTAGCTTCTATTTTACGACCAATGCATGGTATACTAAACAAAGCCTTCTATTCGAGCCTCAAACATAGCTTGCTATATCACTGCTGTGGATTCCGATACTTGCTGATGCGTCGGGTCAAGGCGATCGAGGCGCCAAGTGAATTTAAGTACAGTCGCTTTGGAAATAAAGTTTTGATTTCCTGGTAATAAAGACTCTTTTCTACCACTAGATTAAAGTATGTTAGTTGCTTTAATATAAGTGACTTCTACATAGTATGGTGTGGTAATAAATTCTCCTGACAGACTTGCGATTGTGCGAAGCCCCTTCAAAACTTCAGACGTGTCTCTAAAGCTTTATAATTTGTGATAGAGTCAATATCGAATCAAATGAAAAATAATCTAATGAAAGAGGTAGGTACATAATAATAGGTACTTGTTTAGGTACATGACATTTTAGGTAAATGCCTGTATTAAGAATCAGGGGCTTGGGATATGCTAGTTAAATGCTACGGGACTATTCCCACCTCTCGTTCCCACCACTGCAACTCCTGTGTAGCCAGGATCTACAGCTTGACCGCCACAAAAACCCAACCAATGAAGGTCAAGTTTGTCCCGGGGGACAGTTAAACTGTCATTGGACCCGCAACGAAATTAATCAGAAGAACATAGGAGGAGTTCGAAATTAAGGTTCGACTTCCCTCCATTGCAAAGCGGATGACAGGTGACAAACAAAGGTTTAAAACCTTTAAGAAAAAGATTTAGTTAAATGCTAGACATTAATTTACTTTAAGCACTGGATTTAGACCAAAATTCAAAAGACCGAATTACAGCTTTACCAAGCTAAAATATAAATCTTTTCCAGCGAGTAATCTTCTACACTAAAATTAAGAGAAAACAATTTAATAATAATGTTTGTAATAAGCTCCGAAACTGCTGGACCGATTTGTGAAATTCCTTCACCATTAGAATCACACATTATTTCTGATGAGCATACTAAGTGGTACGAAGTTCGCCGGGTCATCTAGTCCTCGATAATATTTTTTTCTATTGCCGAGTGTACAGGCGCCTTGGGCACTGCACCCCGCTTGTGCACGCGAGCTTGCATTCGAAGGCCCCGTTTATGGCTATCGATTATGACCCAACCTTAGCACAGTTTAACTTTCAGGGAGTTAAAAACTGCTGATAACTGGTTTGGTTTCGGTAATGTTTGTCAGTTAAAAAATATTTTTCTGCCTTAGGTGTAAAATTCAAATATAGGTTCTATGCTTTAAATTGAGCGTCGAATTTCAATATTTAGTTCCTTCACTCCTCGATGAGTAAGTCCTTACCAATCAATAACCAAAATTGAATTCTGAACGGTTCATATTACGAGTATGTTTTAATTGTTTTGGTGAACTCTTTTGTGTGATGTATTAATGATTTAGTCATTGTTATCTGTAATACGAATTTAAGCTCACTTACTAGGTCCGGTTCCAGTCGCTCTTGAAATCTATTCCATAACAGAATTGGACACTTGACCTTATTTCGGGTTGTCTCTTCTTCATCTTAGCAGACAAAGAACCACTTGAGTTGGTTTCTAGTTTCTTTAGGATTATAGTAACTGGAGTCCCACCTTCGGGCACACCAGCGCCGCCAAGACAGCTAGGAGTCGGAGTGGTCCCCATGGCCGAAATCGGTCGGATGGATCATCATCATCATCATCAACTGGAGTTAAATTGCAGTTTCATTAGAATATTGCTGAATTCGACAAATAAATATTAATTATGATTTTCCACCTACTAATTGTAAGTCAGTATGCCTATAAACCGATTTATTATGAAAACACGTGTTACCCAGTCCGGGGAAGCCTTATAAATCCAAGCACTAAGCTACATCAAATTGGCAAATGGGTCGAGTAATCGTATTTGTACTTAATTACGGCTAAGATTTGGTAAACATGTGGGTAGAACCGTTTTGATTAATTGTGGGTAGTTCTGCTCTGGTTATATTTAGGAAATACTGTAAATAATAATTTATTGTTTATTAGACTAGAATTATAAAGTTGCGGGTCCAATGACAGTTTAACTTTCCACCGGGAAAAACTTGACCTTCACTGGTTGGGTTTTCATTACTTTTTATTGGCGGTCAAGCTGTAGATCCTGGCTAAACAGGAGTTGCAGCGGTGGGAATGAAAGGTGGGAATAGTCCCGTAGACTAGAATTATCTTACGTTTCGCTTGCAAGTAGACGATCTCCGCTCAAAGATTTTTCTTCGTAAACACATTTTGCGTACCACTTAATTGGTGTGCGTCGTAAAGGACAAAAGATCTCAAAATAATCTTTCAAACGTAAACTGTCCTCTCTACAATTAATTTAATTCTTCTTGTTACAGATCGAGGAAACTGGTCACAATAGGAAGGGAGCTGGAACCTTTTTAGTGCCGATGAACGGCGGAATATGGACCATGTGCGTGTCTCTGGAAGGTATACCAATAGAAAAATAATGTACCTAATACTCTACAAGTACCACACAACAAAATATAAGACACAATTTCATAAAACGTTCATATTGAAAACGTTCGCTAAAGGTCAAGACTTCAAGATTCTCAACGAAATTGATTCTATTCGTCGTTACAAGACGTTATGACCTTACATTTGAAATAAAAAAATTGATTAAAGTGACACGAATTTCACCGTAGTCAAAATGAGTTTGCCGGATTTTTCCACTTTAACGAATATTCTTTTGCAAATACCAAAAAGATTTTGCCACGACATATTTCTTCTAAATTAAGGAATAATGTTTGTTAATCTTATACCTACTTTTAATCCTTTTTAGAGGAAGAAGTAAGAATGCTGTCAAGAGTCGGGTTCCCCACAGAACCGCTGTGCACAAATTACTTAGCGGAGAGCGATGATGAGGAGCCTCGGGCAGATTGGCAACATCGTAAGTATCAATCAAATATTTTTTATTTTCTTAAAAACATGTAGATAAGTAACATGTGTTCTCGTATCATACATCTTTTAACTCTACTCCTAGCTGTTCTACATTATTGTTGTCATACATTATAGTTCTATGATCTATCACACAAGGCTCTACCTACAGGATCAATATCAGCAAAAGCATAACATATTTCAAAATTACCGAATCAAGGTAAATTAAATAAGTTACTTATTTCTTTATCTATCGTAACAAACCTTCCACTAACTTAAAATTACGACTTCAGTTAGCTCTTCATTAAACTCTAGGATGTTCCTAAACTGTTTCCCAACACCGAAGGCCGTGAAAATAAGACCCTGTCAAGCTATATTAGCTCCCCGACGCGAATGAGCGCTTATTAAACGAATCCTTTAGATCCCTGCCATTTTTCCCTCATTTCCCCTGACCTTGGCAACTCGCTGGCCTAGAAACTTAGCTCGTTTATCAAATTATTTCGACGAAAATGAATGAGTGGAGTGACAGCGTGATTTATTTGCAAGTCACAACTCTTGTTTTTTATGAATATCATTATGCATGAGGTTTCGAGTGAACGTGAAAACGAAAATAATTTTATAGTGGCAATTTTTTGACACATTTTTGTTTAATAGAATGTTCGAAGTATACTGCGTCGTCATGTTAGTACCTAAATGAAAACATATACGTGTTAAAATTTTTTATTGCACGTAGTATGATAGATCGCTTCCTAGTGATAAAACCGCCTAAAAAACCACTTTTGAATTACTTATAAATTGTAAAAATTGAAGAGCGTCTGTGTCTCAGGTTTCATTTAACGGTGGTAGCTTTTATACTCGGCTAAAAATAAAAGTTAATAGAATAGGAAGATAATACCAATGCCTTAGAGTGAAAACCTCTTAAGTGTAAAATAATTAATTTTCCAGGAGAAAGATAAATCTGCGTGCTGTAATCTGTAAGATTGACCGAAATTAATAATATAAATTAGACTTACGCTCTAAGGCGACCATACGGAGTATCAGTACACATAGAAACCGACACTAAATTACTCAACAAAAATAAAGGCCCCGGAAAACTTGGCTTTTAGGGCAGTCCAAGTTCTGCAGCGGCTTATGAATACGTAATTAGCGACTATTCCGATTCTGACGGCTGACTGGAGCACGGAATGCCTGAGTGGGCTGCATTATAGGCTGTTTCCCCCAGTTACTTTAATGGCAAACCGAGTTTAACGCTCTATTTGTGTTTTCAAGTCAAAGGCTTAGAGAAATGCGTTTCGTTTGTGGCGATTAACTTTTGTGGTGAGCGAAATTAAAATAGTTCTTCCGGCGACTGGGACCACTCATATATTTTAGTACAAAAATATTTTTTATGGATCCAGGGACCGGGACCGCGGTCCCAGTTTATTGCGGTTCCAGTAGCCGGAAACCTCAAAGTTCCCATTAAAATTAATACAAGTCTTGGTCATCATAGGAATATAGAAGTCACTCATCAGTCACCACGTTAAAGGCCGATTTTGTACAAGATTTTCCTTAGATATGGCGTGATTGTTGTGTCCTTCACACGAACTAATCCATCCACCATCCTTCCACCATCCCCCTGCCGTTATCGGGAAACCAGACGCAGGTTAGCGTATCCCTATATTGTTGACATTCCACCAGCTCGCACTAAGTGCTTCGATGACTCTTTTATAATGCGAACAGCTCTAGGGACTGGAATTCGTTGCCTGCTGCTGTCTTTCTTCCCGAAGACTATAATCCGGGCCTTTTCAAGGTGAGAGTGAATAGGCACTTACAGAGCAGATATGTACCATCCTAGACTGCATCCCACTTAACATCGGGTGCGATTGTGGTCAAATACCTGCCTTGTTTTGCATTAAAAAAAGTCCTGATACAATTTAAAGGCTTGCCATCTCCAATGGCACTTTGGCGTATTTACAATCAATATTTTATCCAATTTTCCAGGGATGCAGAACCTATCAATATCGTGTGCGCTCGTGTGTCTAATCGTGCTGGGCAGCGCGGCTTTGGTCGGCGCGTTCGGGATATGCAAGCACCAGATCAGCGCCGTCCTCATTACAGGAGTCATGTACCTCTTGGCTGGTGAGTAGACAGTACTATAATGCATATTAAGAGTAGGCGCATACCGTTGATTTTTAGTTGGCCGATAGTTGTGCCCGATTTTAAATTGTATGAAGAATCGGCCAAATCGAATCGGCGTAGTGTGCGCACTCCCATACATGCCCAATGCCCATACTGACGAAAAATCAACGGTGTGCGCCTACTCTTAGTGTATTAGTAGAAGTTTAAATAAATTCATTCAATACGAACTAATGTAGGTACACATTTCCAAACGTATCCGCATTTCGCTCTTACCGGCGGATATTTTTGTCTTTCTGAATCTTTTGTAAAACTTTGCGTTAGTTAAAATTACTGGCACTTCTGTGAACATTACTTTTTCTTTTTTTTTTAATCCTGATTTCGCCAGTATTTTACTCGTAACATGGCCCATGGCCATAATGGATCTTCACTTGTTTTTATTTATCAACTGTTTGAATGATGCAAACTTTGCAAAACGTTCCAATATCGCGATTCTCATTTGTTTTTGTTGATCACCTGTTGCAACAAAGCGTTCTGTCCTTTCTTTATAGGTCTCTTCGCAATGTTCACCTTGATGATCATCCACTTCAAGAGAATCCAGCGGGTGTCCACCCGAGGCAGTTCCCACGGTGACCACACAGGGGACGGAGTGATAGGCCCTCAGGCTCCTGCCCTCTCCCTCTTGTCAGCTAGGGAGTTCTCTACCGCCTGGTCACTAGATCTAGGCTGGGGAGGCGTCGCATTGGCCACCACGACCTCTTTATTATGGATACTGCTCTCAAAAATCATGAGGTATAACCCCCTGTCTGCCATGCTGCTGTGAATGGGTAGGGTAAGAAGGTGACAACGTCAGAAGTCTACAGAACGAGTAATTTGGTAACAATAGAACGGTGGTGGGCGCGATATTTGAATGTGAGCACAAGTAAGGTACCTACGAGGGGCGGCTGAAAAGTTTTGAGCCTAAGTATCTTCAAGTGTTATTATTGACTCGCACTAAATTTAATTAATTTGCCAATAACCTACTTGGTATATGTACAAAGTTTCATTTCATTAGCGTCATCACGCTTTTAGTAATTAATTCGTAAACATCATCATGTCTCAGTCATCCGCGCAATGTACGAAATTGAAGTACACAGTTGTCATAAAATTCCTCAAAAAGAGGAACAAAACGCTGACGGTAACATTTGATGAGATGTTTACAGTTTATGGGGAGTCTGGGCCTTCATTTGCCACCATGAAAGATTGGATCCGATAGTTCAAGCATGGCAGGGAGTCGCTAAAAGATGACCGCAAGTCAGGGCGGCCAGATTTCGCCATTAACGAATAAAATAATGAAAATTAAATTAATCTTGCTTTAGAGATCAGCGAATTAAGCTGTGACAGATAGCTGAAGCCATAGGAATTAGCATGGAACGTATTGGCGATATTTTTCATACTAATTTGCACATGAAATAGGGGTGCGCGCGATGGGTGCCAAAAATGCTCTCGCCGCTCGACATCCAGCGTCGAGTCACAACTTCGTAGGAGTTTTAGTACATCTTTGGCCATAATCCTAGCAATTTTTTTTCTCACATTGTCACTATTGATAAGTAATAGATCCGGCAGTACGATGTAGAGTCAAAATAAGAGTCAATGCAATGGATTTAAAAGTGAAAACGCCGCCGCGGAAATTCAAAGTGGAGTGATCGACACCCAAGCTCATAGACACTATTTTTGGGATTGTGGAGGAATTTTATTCATTGACTACCTATTTAAAAAAAACTACAATAAACGGAGATTGTTACACTGTACTGTTGATAAGAGTGCGTCAAGTGGTTGTTGAAACATTGAGAGGCAAACTGCCGAAAGGAAATCTGTTATTGCAAGACAATTCGCCCGCGCACATCGCGCATGTTGCATGGCTTGCCCCAGGTAAAATTGGATTTCAAGAAATTAATCACCCACTACACAGTTTAGTCCAAATCCCTAGCTATTTTGTCTAATTCTCAAATTGGAAAAAAGACCTTCAGGAACGAAGATTTTTTAATGACAAAGAAATTAAGGCGACGTTAAAGGCTCATTTCGAAGGCAAAGATTGCGAATTTTTTTTCAGTGGGTTAAAAGCTCTTTTACACAAACGTAAGAAGTCCGTTGTAGTAGAGGGAAATTAAAGAGGAAAATATATTTTTTATACTTTTCTATCGGCATTTTTAATACCCTAGGCTCAAAACTTTTCAGCCGCCCCTCGTACATACACAAGAAGTTCCGATAACAATCCAAAATTGTCATGGTCTCTAAAGAAAAATGCAACTTTATGTTATGAAGAAAAAAACCCTATCGGATCACCAGAACGGATTTAGGTTTAAATTACTCGTAAGTACCTTTTGACACAAGAAACAACGAAAAGCACGTGGATTTAACACTACAAAAGCTACGTAAAAATAAAGAAATACCCCGAGGAGTGAAAATATGGACCAGTGTGTATGGCGTTGTCTTAAAACAGTTGGTTTTTTTTTTACTAATAGATAGTCAATTAAGCGATTTTAAAATTGTCAAACTACAAATGCAGTCAATTCAATTTTAAAAGCCTCGGAAAGATCTCATCTAACCGTTGTGTTTTTAAGATGTTTCCAGCCATGCTTTCATTCTTACTGCAGATTTTTAATACTAAAGTCCTGAGAAATACGATACTATTATTTTTAATGTCAAGTCCTACGCTTTAAACAAATAACTTGTTATAGTAATAACTATGGTCTAGCTTTTACCTTAATCAGTACCTAGCGCCCGTATTCACAAACGATGCTTGCTTAAGTGAAGCAGCAAATCGAACGCACAGCGTTGAATAGAGCACTATGATTAGTTCGTTTGTCACCCTGTGCGTCCACGCGCACTGTGAGACCTCATAGTAATGTTTGTGAATACGGGTGTAAGTAAAGTATGGGAGCGGCACTGAAGGGTGTTTTTGTAACGTCAAACGTCAGCGAGACTTCAGATCTCCTTCAGATTTATATGACTTACTTGACTTATGGTCCTATGTCCCCTAGATGGGGCAAAGGGCGTCCACAACAGTCCTCCATCGCGTTCGGTCTTGAGCTATGTGTTTGATCTCGCTCCAAGTCTTGCCGATCTTCTTCGCCTCGTCTGCCACAGTGCGCCGCCAAGTTTGCTTGGGGCGACCACGCTTGCGTTTTCCTTGGGGGTTCCAATCCAGAGCCTGCTTGGGGATGTGATCGGGATCCCTTCGGAGAGTGTGGCCAATCCAGTTCCACTTACGGCGCAGATTTATATGCTCTGTCATAATAATTATGTCAATGTCACCCCTTCTGTGCCTCTCCCATACCTCGGGCACTGACTGAGTTGACCTATAACAAGTTTAATATCTGCGCAAACTTTACGACAGCATTGGCAGTAAAATATTCTAGTTAATTTAATACTGTTCACTTAAAACTTTTCTGTATATTGAAACAAATCCTAGCATTCGGGTTTCGCAGAAATAAATAATAAGGCTTTAGGTCATCGTTTCTCAATCTGAAACAAGATATCTAAAAAAAAAGATAAAATAGATTTAAAAAAAAGTTTATAATCAAAATAGCCACTCACCATTGAAGCTCTTAAAAAGAAAAAAAATAAGTTAGGACCTTATTACGCTTTCAAGTCTTTCGTGAATAACATTTTATCAAAGCTATTATAATTAATTAACTAAGTCATTTCATGTTTGTAACTTCGCCAGTTTTTCAGATAAATACACTCAGCGGCACGGAATTTGGCCCAAGCCTAAACACCCAGATGTGAGGCCAAATAGGTGTTGTATACCTAAGTTTCGTGTGACATGTTAACAGAACATTTGTTTTTGTTAATTTAAGAGGCTAGATTAATAAAAAAGTGCGTCTGTTTAACTTTTTTGACTCTAGAAACGCATTTCGTTGTTGGAGCGTAAAGATTACGGGTAAGTTTAAATTCGATATTAAAAGTTGCAAGGGTTTGGTGTTTTGTTTTTTGTTTTTAAATTAATCTTAAGGTTATTCTCAATTCCATAATTTGAGAATAATGCCCATTACTCCAGCTCAAGTTGCTCAAATAGTGTTGCTTAGAAGTCAAGGGCGTATGCAGCGGGAGATGGCTGAAACTTTCAATTTATGGCGTACAAACTTAAGATACACGTTGAAAAGGCATGACCAGACCGCCATTTACACAAGAAGACCAAGAAGTAAGGAATTAAGGTGTATGTCAGCGCGCGATGACCCGATTATCGTGCTTGTAATATCAAGAAATCCGGTTCTCACTACGTTTGAGATACGCCAGCGTTTAGAAACAGCAAGCCCAGTGAATATCAGTGAGCACACAATAAGAAGAAGGATGGAAGAACGTAACCTGCATACTCGAAGACCAGCTCGAGGACCAGAACTTCTCCGATACCATTGCGAAGTGCGACTTACGTTTTCTAGAGAACATGCAAATTGGACGTTAGACTAATGGAGTTAATCTCTTTATGAAAACTGTCTGTTCGCGTATTAATTCTTCTCCGCACCTTCTCTATACACTTTCACGGCCGTCTGGAGCTCTTAAGGTGACTCTGCAATCATCGATCCATAGAACTTTACTCCATTAGCCTTGGACGCATTTGCATGTTCTCTAGAAAACGTCAGTCGCACTTCGCGAAGGTATCGGAGAAGTTTTGGTCCTCGAGCTGGTCTTCGAGTATGCAGGTTATGATCCTCCATCTTTCTTCTTATTGTGTGCTCACTGATATTCACTGGGCTTGCTGTTTCTAAACGCTGGCGTATCTCAAACGTAGTGAGAACTGGATTTCTTGATATTGCAAGCACGATAATCGGGTCATCGCGCGCTGACATACACCTTAATTCCTTACTTCTTGGTCTTCTTGTGTAAATGGCGGTCTGGTCATGCCTTTTTAACGTGTATCTTAAGTTTGTACGCCATAAATTGAAAGTTTCAGCCATCTCCCGCTGCATACGCCCTTGACTTCTAAGCAACACTAGTTGAGCAACTTGAGCTGGAGTAATGGGCATTATTCTCAAATTATAGAATTGAGAATAACCTTAAGATTAATTTAAAAACAAAAAACAAAACACCAAACCCTTACAACTTTTAATATCGAATTTAAACTTACCCGTAATCTTTACGCTCCAACAACGAAATGCGTTTCTAGAGTCAAAAAAGTTAAACAGACGCACTTTTTTATTAATCTAGCCTCTTAAATTAACAAAAACAAATGTTCTGTTAACATGTCACACGAAACTTAGGTATACGACACTTATTTGGCCTCATATCTGGTTGTTTAGGCTTGGGCCAAATTCCGTGCCGCTGAGTGTAGATGAATAATATTTTGTACTCATAAGAACTAAAAATAAATAATATATGATAATAAAGGTTGAGAAACGATGTTTTAGGTGATCGCAGAGCTTGCAGCCGTCCATTGCTATTTAAAGTTATCGTTACGCCTTCTTTTTAAAAACTATACTTTTCATAATACCTGTTATAACAATTTTAAACTTTTAAAAATATTATCGATGTTATTCGTATCGTTAAAAATTATTTTATAATATTTAAACATCTGTTTATAACAACAGTTACAATTTATTACTTATTTAAAGTTTAAAACTTATAATGAACTTAAAATCATAAAATGTAAAGTCATCATTCTATAATTGTCAATTTCTTGAAAACAAGCTTGAAAAAATGTTAAATCTGATACCTATGTTAAAATTAATTTCATGTCGTCAAAATGTCAACGAAATAATATATTTTTGTTCTTGATGAGCTGAATAAAAAAAACTACGCATAATCAGTGACGAATGCAATAAAACAAAAAAGAGTGTGTTGTTGAAAGATAATGGTGCTGAGATAAAAATAAAAATTTTAGTTAGTTCAATGAAAATAGCTGAATTAGGTAGAGTTTTAGTTGTAGCGAAGTTGAATAATTTATTGAAATGAATATTAGTTATGTGTAGGGAAATATTGAGTTATAATCAAGATAGACCTCAGATCATAGAAGGTTACTAAGAGTTATTAGTATTTATACTTAGAAGAAGTTAAAAAAATCTAATAATAAATTATCAATTCCAGCTAAGCAAGGCAAAACAAATGGTCGAAATGTGTGAATAATAAAATATTTGATGTTTTACCCCTAAAGATAGAAATTCGTGAGTAATAATTAAATATAGTTAAATTAATATAAATCGCAACGCTTTATGAATTGAATTAGGTGTAATATACAATTGAATAATCATTCATGTCCAAATTCACACATTTTGACAAATTGTAAATAGTTCTGCAGTCTTAACAAAAAGAGGCACTAAAAAAATAGCGTAAAAAGTTGTACCCATATATTTTATTATGATGAGCCTAATAAGATTACCAAAAAATCAGCAAATCAGAAATTTTGTTTCATTTTCGAATGTTCTGTAGTTATACCCTTTTTCGTTAAGGCAGCAGGCAAATTTGCCAAGGGTGTTTGTTCTCTTGTAGCTGAAATTAATTAGCTTTCACGAATTATGCCAAAATGACATCAATTTAGTAGAGTTCGTTCCTAGAGATATTTAAAAAAAACGAATCGGTATCAGCATGGCTACTCCCTATAATGTTCTCTGAAGTAAAATTATTATCCATTCCATTCCACTCACTCAAAGCAAGTTGTTCGCATGAGCGACAGAGATGCACATACCTAGCAACGATATGGAAACAGAACGTTAGAGAGTAGTTACCAACTAATATACCTCGTTTGGTTATCCGCAACCACAGTTAGTGAAACGCAACAAATTAATAAATGGCCAATCTTTTGTGATTCGCAGAAAACTATCTCAGGAACCGTATTAGTTAAAAGTAGAACTATTATATATTTTACGACTCTACTATACTGTAAGCTCTATGCACTGTTTAGTTATACAGTCTAGCTAAACTAAATTAATTCAGTGTAAAGATTTCTAGTCTTATAAATTAGAAAATCATATTTATTATGTATGCTGATTTAATTTTTAGCACTTGGACCATTGTAGGTGTTTTGTGAATATCCAATTGCTTATATGTTTTTAAAAGGAACGAATATAATTTACCTGTGATTTATTATAATAATGTACCCTTAGATTAATAAAACGCAACGCTTTATGAGAGTTTTTTTAATCTAAGAATGTACCTGTCAATTTCTTGCATGTTTTGTGAAGTTCTTTTGAGGTATGAATTGTGTATTTCAAGTAGTATAAAAACAATTGTGAAACAAAATTATATTACGCTTCTTGGATTGTAAATGATGGTTATTTTCTCTAATACAAACGCGAACGCTTGTTTCACTAATCTAGTCTACCAATCATTCGTAAGAAACAATGGTTTGTGAAAATGTACCTAAACGGTCGTTAGCCTGTGAGACAGGCGCCGTGAGTAGGCTTGGTCTACACAGGACGATGGGGCACAAGAAAAATACCTTTTGAACCTGACGGTGATTCAGTTGTTGTTAGTTTCAGTTTGAGAATGGCATACAATCAACTCAATCGATACGTTATCGTATACTCTTCTTATAATATACTCTTAATCGCGTGGTGGTTGACAAATCAACTCAATCTTTACGTTATTATATTTTATGCTCTGAAACGAGTACAGTGATTGTCAAACTGTTTCTAAGCTTTGCTGAACTTTTGAAAGGTAACCTAAAAAGCTTTGGTCATTGACTCGAAATAACTCTCCTTTTAAAGCAACTAAAATGCTATACTGGTTTTCAGTTACAGTCAATGATGATCATTAAATATTATCATGGACAATTTTAGAAAGTATTTTTAACGAAATATCAATGAAATACGTAGAATACTTAGTGTGATCTCCGTTACATACAATACAAAACAAAGAAAGAGACATACCCAAGCAATTTTGGTTGTTTTATCTAACAAGTAAAAAGAAAAACTTTGTCACTTTCAATCAAATGTTTATTTCACGAAGATGAAAAGAGACAAAACACTTTTTTCGTTAGGTAGTCATAAATATTATACTACTTAAATTTATTTTCACATGCCAAATCCGCGCCTGTGTAGACCCCGCCTTACTAATTAATGTAAATGAATAATCTACGCTTCACGCACTTTTATGAAAAGGCGTTACATTGTGATGTTTATTTCTCGGTGTTGCTCGGCGTTGTGTTGATACTTCTTTTGTACTTTGAATGCATAAAGCAATATTATTTTGTTTATACACGGTTGTTTTATTTCACTCTCCCTTTTCAGAAAGAATATCTATGCAATAGGGACGCTGGTGGGGCTCAATCTCCTTTTATGCGATGTCCTACAGTGGGACCACTATACGAGTCTCTCAAATATTAATTTATTTATGTATTTATTTTAGAATTACATTGCTAGTCAGCAGGTATTATAAAAATGTTGTTTACTATGTCTGCTGCGAAATATAATTTTCGAAAGCCAAAGCCATGGATCAAAATATTCAAAAGGACTTTCATCCGATCACAGGCCTACCTTTGTATGTATGTGTTAACATTTTTGAAATAATAAAGACTATAGCGGACCACACCACATGATGATACACCAGACAATCGTGGTATTTTTAAAACAAAACCTACTAGATCTTGCAGTATTGTTTTATGCAATAGGTACTAAAACTGCTACCAATCTATTATGTAGGGGAGACCTAGGAGAGTTGTGACAGAGGTGAGTTGTGACAAGGACGATTTCTCCTTACTTAATAAAACTCATTAAAACTCATTTATTTCTGTAAATAGGCTTAAAAAAAGCACTTTTAATATAGTTAGGAAGCTGGAAAAAATGCTTGTTTGTCGCTTTTAAGACGCTCTTCTTGACTAAGTACCTGCGGGCGGCGCACGAGGCACGGTTTCGTAAATATGACGTCTGTGTACAAAAAAATTCGAAAAGTAAGTTTTTCGTCAAAATTTTATTTCAATTTAAATCATGTTTTAGTATATGTGCACTGTTGTGTTATTTTTTCTCAAGTTGCATGGTTATTCAGGTCTCAAAATGTAGCACTGATATTTTGTGTGCGCATCGTGTTTAGAAAATAAAAAATATTATTCGAACCAAGTCGTCATTTCAAACACCTAGGAGAGTTGTGACAGCCTGTCACAACTCTCCTAGCTTACTTAATTTTTCTGATGGGCCATTTCCACGATGTTTTTAGGTGTTTTTTTGTGTTCTTAATAATTTGTTTAATTGCCTGCTGCTACTTTTTTGATTCTGAATACCTAATAACTATACATGAATGCCATATAGAGGAACTGTTTGCTGGAGTCGAAATATAGGACCTGGCTTATGAAGTGATTAAGTTAAAAACGGTTAAAGTTTAAGATACGCTGCGACCTCTTACAATCTAAACTTGTCAAGATATATTAAGAAGAAATAGGCTTATCAAGTAAACCCAGAAGGCGAAGCTCCGTCTATGGATTATACCACCGCGACTATTTTATTTTTACAGAAGAGGAAGAAAATATATTAAGTGACTATATTATCTAAAAATGTAATAAAAAAAATCCAGTGTCGTGGGAGAAAAATGAAAGCTGGAGAAATATGGCTCAATCTGTGTAACGATATCCTATAACTATTTGTTTTAATTGTTACTAAAGGATGATTAAAGTACTTTTTTTCTAAAAAATCATATTTGATTGAGTATTATGGTATTTTTATATCTAATAGATGAAATACAATGCTGTCACAACTCACCTCGGTACCTGTCACAACTTACCTCGGTGCTAGGAGAGTTGTGACAGAGGGAGTGGTCTAAGATTTTGGTGATTTTCTTAGAAACCCTAATACTTTAGTTAACTTTGGTGATTGTTTTAAAAACAGAAGGAACGGCGCTACATTAATTTGTATGATTCATAGCTGTCGAATGTTTTTTGAGCGAGATATGGCCCCTAAAGTAAAAATTGTCACAACTCTCCTAGGTCTCCCCTACTTTACCAGTTTTACGAACTCTTAAATTAATAGGGCAGTAACTTCGAGCCGATGGCCGTTGGGGCAGGAAAGTTCTCGAGTGGCGACCACGGGCTGGAAGACGTAGCGTGGGCAGGCCTCCTACTAGGTGGACCGACGATCTGGTGAAGGTCGCGGGAAGAGCCTGGATGCGGGCAGCGCAGGACCGTTCATTGTGGAAAACCTTGGGGGAGGCCTTTGTCCAGCAGTGGACGTCATTTGGCTGAAAACGAACGAACGAAAGAACGAACGAACTTTTAGCTCTGTGATTGGTCGGCAGAATATAACTCGAACACGTTATTAAAACAAACTGTATTGCTTTAGAAATAAAACTGAATTCTATAATTTTGAAAATAAAATATGTTTATTACGCAATGTAACAATCTTAACTAATGTAACTATTATTTACACGATAACTTGAGTTTTCTTAAAAATTAACTTTGCTCTCCGCAGGTCGAAATAAAACTTAAGATAAACAAAATAAATACAATATAGAATATTGAACGACATGTTTTAAATACGACTACCTAAGTAATGTAGCAATGAAGAAAAATAACAATCACATGTCTTATTTCCGAATAAGGCGGTGGCAATTTGCCATCATATTTTGGACTTTATTTTATTGTCCTAATGTCCAAAACATTTTACGAGAAAGACGAATAAAGGGTACAGAACACATTATACTGACCTCCATCCCTTTTACGCCAATTTTTCAAGTATATTAACTTCAGATCAGTTTTTAAAACTTTTTATTAATAGGGGCGTGGCCTATTTTGGACATTGGCCATTCTTTCTCTCTCATTATCCTGGCTTTAATACAATTTATATAGCTTCAGTTTTCATATTCTAGCTTTAGTATAATTAATAAGTATAGCTTCAGTCGTCGTCTTGTAGTAATTGGTCTTCTACATCAATATCCTCCGCCTTTCGTTTCTTGGCTTTAGGCCTCTTTCCGTGCATCATTTCGAGTTTCATTTTCTTTGCCTGCTTTTTCTTTTCCTTTAGCTGTAATTTCCTCTTTGCCGCCTTTTCTGGATTGTGCACTTTTTCTTGTAATAGAACCTGCAAATAAGGAACGAGATTACATTTCATTTTGTATCAATATGACACGTTATTTTAAGCTTGTCCAAATGACGCGTTTTCACTCGAAAATTTTGTAATCGGGCGATCGTGAGATACTAGAGGTCCAATATTATTATAATCTATCTACGTGCAGTAGCGCGACTGCAAGTGGGTAGTTAACTAAAAGTAGCAGGTAAACGGGACTATTCCCATGCACCTCTCGTTCCCATTGCTGTAACTCCTGTGTAGCCAGGGTCTACAGCTTGACCGCCATTAAAAACCCAACCAGTGAAGATCAAGTTTGTCCGGGGAAAGTTGAACTGTCATTGGGCCCGCAACGAAATTAATCAGAAGAACATAGGAGTTTTTACCACCCAAAATAAAAAAAGGAGTTGGAAGTTAGGGTTCGATCCAGTGTAAAGCGTAACATACGTAGTAGCGTCCAGTGCAATGTAATAACATGATGTTAATACCAAAAAAGAGGACCGACGACCTCATAAAGGTAGCAGGAAGGCGTTGGATGCAGGCCGCTACCAACCGCGCGATATGGAAATCATTGGAGGAGGCCTATGTTCAGCAGTGGACGTCCTGTGGCTGAAATGATGACCATAAAAGATGAATAGCAAAAAATACGAACCTTTTTCCTCTCAACCCTCCTAATATTCAGTCTTGTCTGCACCTCAGCCACTAGTTTCCCGTACTCTATATCCCCAATCTTCCTTCTCAACTTCTTGCCCAGCCTCCCCGCGAGTTGCTTGACAGGCGACGCGGGCGCCCCCACGTCACCGACGGACAGTTCGCGCACTATCGGCGGTAGGATGACGTCAATGATCTTGTTTAGGTCGTCCGTTTCTAGCGAACTTATGAGGTGGGTCCACATTGTGAATATTGATATTCTCTGGAATAAAAGATAAAGACTTTAGGCCATAAAAACAAGAAAGTTGATAGCAAATGGGGATTGAAGACTGAATACTTTGATGAAATTTAAAGTTTACAGTCTTAGCCCCATTTTTTTACTGTTATGTGACGACCTTCTGCAATATATCATCGATTCATCAATATCTATGCAAACTAACTTATCAAATTAGTATATTATAGATTATAAAAACTATATTCTGTTAAAAAATTCATATCAACGTCTGCTTAGTTAATTAGTAATTTCAAAATACAGGTGTGTCCTTACATTTAGCTAACTATGTAAAGTTCTTGCAACTCACGAAGGCGAGTGAGCTTTACTTGTGGTGTGTACGTGTACATGCACATAACGATAGTGTAATGTCTATCAAAACTTTTGAAAAACGAACAGTAGCGAGCCACCACACATGTAAAACTCACTCGCCTTCATGAATTGCAACAACTATATTTCAAAACATACAAAATATAGCCTGACCAGGAACATAAAAACCCTGGCATAGAGGCGCGTCAATTGCATTTGATAGTGCAACACTGAGTACAGTCGTACATGTGTTAAATTAATAGGCAAAATTTATGTAACAGGATTCAGGATTACGGGCTAATTTGATATTTTCATAAATTAACGAAAAAATATTATTAAAGGTAACCTGGTTTAAATAAATTAAATGAAACCATCAATCGAGCTAGTAGGATTTATTTTATTATTCATCAATAATCAAATTCAAAACTTGAATATTCAACTGCAATGTCTGCTCATGAACGCTTCAAACTCGGTACTTCTATCCCAATTCCATAAAATTCAAAAGTTAGAAAGTGACAAAAAACTTTAAAATAGGTAGTTGAAACAGACTACAGCTAATTTTCATAGTGGACTGTACTATACGATAAACATGTCAGTCAATTTGACAACCTTTGTCGGAAACATTATTCAATGAAAATATTGTCCGAACCGTAAGTATTTCTCTTCGACAAATACATTAACACACTGTGAACCACTTTTCTTTCACGACTATAAAAATATTTTAGCAATTTAATTCACAAAATCAATTGCACACATTTAAAATAAAGTTTGTTTACACTTTGACAACAATAGACTGACATGCAAGGTGACATGTCAATGAAGTTTTCAGTTACTGTTGCCATTAAAAGAAATTAGTACCATTAGTTTTCCACAATATGGCGAGGGTTTTTATGTTCCTGGTCAGGCTATACTTACAATATTAGTAGAATTAGGCGCCCTAGCCACTTCAACGTTAACGGCTTTCCTAAGCTTGAACAGTATCCAGCGGAGATTCACTTTGGCCGTGGTCTCCGCTTCCTCCTTACTCTCCTCCGCTATGCATTTGGGGGTTAACTTGAAACTGGACATGTTGTGGACTAGCTTCAATATTTGGAAGAGTACTGATGTCACCTGAAATGGTATTTGAGGATTAGTTTGAAGTGTGCATTATTTTTGATGAGGCGTACAGTCGCCTTTACTAAAAAAAAACAACTTGGTAAGATGCCACAGTGTTGACTTATTCGATTTTTCCTCCAAAATTCAAGTATTTCAGACGCAGGTCTGTTGATGTTTTTACGGTCCAAATTCTCGTTTACGATCCCCATAGACAAGTTGCAAAACTTGACAGTTTATATTTCGAAATCGCTCTATGGAACGATGCAACTACATACAAAACATTACCGGAGTGAAATGATTTCGGAATTACAACTATCGCGTTTTGTAACTTGTCTAGTAAGAGTAACAGGTCTACAGAATGAAAGCAAATTCCAAAAGTAATGCTTTCAAAACTAACGCCATAAACTAAATTACCACTTCGCAATAAAACACAGTGGCGCCGCCTAAAGTTTAGTCTCTAAACTACCAAATACAAAAATGTTTTAATACAATCTTACCTCCTCAGCCATTTCCTTAGTAACGGACGGCGTGAACTGCGCACATAGATCCAGCACCAAACTCCTCAAAGACACCTCCGTATCATAATAGATGAACCCTCTCTCACTTTCAGCTTTCTTCTGCACCACCAGATCCAACTCCTCAACATTCACAGCACAGAGAATGGTGCCCAGAATCTTAGCCGCGCGTAATCTTACCCACGCGTGTGGATACCCCAATAACGCTTGACACTGTTGAGCTAAGTCATCAAAGTCGCTTATAAACTTCTTATCTTTGATGCTATTCGAACAATTTGTTGTTATCCTATCAATCAAGTTTAGAATCTGAATCAAACTGTGGTCTTTCTCTTTCTGTTTTTCTTCGTCCGTTTTGTCGTCGGATTGCTCTAGCCGTAGTTTTACGAAGCGGCCTTCGGTTATGTCGTTGCTGAGTAGAAGGATTTTGCTGCTGACTAGAGAGAGGACGGTGCTGAGGCGGCTTTTGAAGTCGTCGCCTTCGACGTTTACGAAGCGAGTGCTTAGTTGCGCGGCGAGCTCGAAGTGGATTGGCTGGAACAAATACGACGTAGGTTATTAAGGGATGATTGCCATATTCCATGGGATCAATGTTTGTAAAGTTTTCATTCACTAATGTGTAAGATAGCGTTAAACATGATTGGGAAGTTGGGAACCGTTGTCATACGCCCACAGACTTAGAGATATATTGCTATCAGGCATCAACATCACTAAGACGCATGAATGAATGAACGAATGAAACGTTTACAATCTACTCCAATCTAAAGTATATTGCATTTTATACCTAACAACTAACTACAGTAAAAAATAATGATAAATGACTCTTGGCCTCCGACAGTAAGAATCTCCAATTTGGTCTGTTCTGCGCCATCTCAGCCAATTATTGACGTGAGGACCGCGCATTCTCTTAGCGACTTCGTCCCAGTTATGCCTGAAATGACCAACCGGTAAACGGCGCCATGGTCGTCCTAAGTACCCAAACAATAAAACTAAACACAACATCGGTTCTAAACTCACTTGGGTATCCTGGAAGAACGTCAGCACCAGATCAAACAGTTTATTCCTGTCCAATGTGGGCAGTCTCTTGAGCATAGCTTCTAAACAGGCGGCGGCGGCGGCGCGGCACTCGGGCGCAGAATCGTTGAGCATTGACGCGCCGAGCGCTAGTAGGAGGTAGTCGCCATGTTTGGAGAGTTGTTGCTGGAAATTATCACAGAATATCAGTACCAATATAAATAAATGTTTACCACAGACTTTCAGTATCACTATACAACCCGGTCGAGTTAACTGCGCGTCACATCAACGCTCTGGTAAGAATGGGTCGAATGCGGGAAGGTGTGCGGGTGAGTGCGAGGAAGAGTTCCAGCGAGGTGCGCAGTTAACTTGACCTGGTTGTAATTATTATTACAGACTATCAGTTTTACCATCTGACAATAGGGTGTTGTAGTGACCTTGTCAATTTATCAAATACTTTAAAGCTGTCAAAACGCGATAGGATTTTGTTACGATAATTATGATTTAGGATTATGGCGTCATCGGGTCACGAACTGAATACTCAATAAAATATGTTTTACAGACATTTGAAAAATATCTTGGTTTTTGAAGTTTAGAATGAAGTGTTTGTTAAAGAAGGCGTCTTGCATTTTTATTATTGACGCCAATTACCCAAGGCCAATATAGTTAACGTTTTCATCTTTATTTTGAAATAGAGTTTTCTGTTAAAGTTATGACGTCACTTTCTGAATTGTCTAACTATTCAATACTTTTTAGTTGTCCTATAAACAATGGCACATTTCGCATAATAATCACAACTCACCACTGGGAACTTATTGATGATCATGTCCAGGAACTTCAGAGATGATTCCCGCCCGTGCTGTAGCTCGAAATTAAGCTGGGACACGAAGAACTGAATGAACTTGTCCATCTTCTTGCCGGGCGAGTAGTTCGTTAGGTACGTCACGAATATTGTGCGGGCTTCTTCCCTGGAAATAATTCAATAATAATAACATTAAAGTCGCCGACACAGCCCAACGGATTAGCAAGCTGAAGTGGCAATGGGCAGGGCACATAGTACGCAGAACTGACGGCCGATGGGGCAGAAAGGTTCTGGAATGGAGGCCGCGTACCGGAAAACGCAGCGTGAGACGTCCACCTACAAGGTGGACCGACGACATCGTAAAGGTAGCAGGGAAGCGCTGGACGCAGGCCGCTACCAATCGATCAACATGGAAAACATTGGGGGAGGCCTATGTTCAGCTGTGGACGTCCTATGGCTGAAATGATGATGATGATGATGAATAACATTAAAATAATTTGTACGGCGATTCCTACAAGACCATCACTTGGTTAAGCCGTGAAGTCTTCTTTTTCGTTACCGGAACTGCAAGTTTCAAGAGTCCTTAAGAAAATAAAATAAAAAATAACATAAGAATAATCACACTGACAATAATAGTAACTGAGTTTCTTGCGCTGCTTCTTCTCCGCTGGCCCATTCATTGTCCCGAAGCAGTGGTAGGGTTAATACTGGGACGTGTAAAAGTGCTTTTTAAAAGCCTATTTGCAAATATAAATGAGTTTTATGATGAGTTTTGTGAACTAGCGAATTACTCAATCTGTATTGAGTGGTCATTGACATTATACAGGGTGCCCCCAAAACAAGAAACAACAGGTCAATGACAGTTTCAAACTTACCTCGATTTAGCTGATTCACTCAATATACAGATCTTGGATATCTTTTCCATAACTTCATGCAACTCTGTAGAGACGAGTTTCGCTTCTAGAATAGCTTTCAGCAGAGTGAATGAGTTGGCTTGACGCTCGTCGTTCATGCAATCTTCTTCTGCATATAGGAGAAGCGTTTTAAGCTGTTCGGCCTCTAATTTGTAGTACTTCACGTTTCTGATGAGGACTGTGACTGCCTGTAAGTGAACACAAAGTACTTTTAATAACAATAACAGTAATAAATAACATAATTTGGTCCCTATTATGAGCATAATAACGACTAAAAAAGCCTGTAATGTAAAAGTCTGTGATAGGAATTAGAGCTATTACATTACAAGCAAATGTTTCCAGTATGTTTTTCATAGATCACAAAGCAGGTATTTGACTGCAATCACACCTGATGTTAAGTGAGGTGCAGTCTAAGATGGTACATACGCTATACGTGCCCTATTCACTCTAGCCTTGACGAGTCAATTAAAATGGGAGGTTTCACAGTGAAAATGTAAGAAAAATTATTATCTTTACTGACTTACCTTAAATGCATTCCTGACTAGATGATAATTATCGTTCTGCTTACTAATCTCAAACGTGGCATACTTGTGTAAAATCGAAAATATCGTTTTCACCACATCCTGTATCATTTCTTCCAACGTCGGCGTACTAATTCTAATAGTCCAGAGAGTCAAAATGCATTTCATAGCCACAGTCGTTACTTTGACATGGTCGCTTTTCAACGCATCAACTAGCAAAGGTATCAATGGATCTACGAATGCTTTGCAGTCCATTCTTGGGACTTTCTCTCTTTTGAGTATAACATAAAGAATATTCATGCTGAATTCGACTAAAACGTGAGAGTTGGCTTTGCCAGAAGTTTTTACGTTCCTCACTTGCGACTCTTTACTTCGTTTAGGCGTTTCTGGGATGATGAAGCAGTCTGGTTTCGCTCTAAGCATTTTTTCCTTCTGGGCCTCAGTTATTTCCCTCTTAGGTGCACCTAAAACGAATTCTGGAATGCTCTCCGAGGCGATACCGTGAAGGAATATGAATAGAGACTCGATATCAATGAATTTGTTAGTGACTAAACCACTTGATATGTGCATAAGAGCTTCTTGCACTTTTAAAACCATCTTTTTGGAGTGGTGCTTTTGTAGAACCTCTTTGAAAGGCAATAGAAGGTTGATCAAGCAACCCTCTGTTATATTTTGGGATACAATCATAAGAGTGACGTAGCTTTTCTTGCTGGGCTTTGCTTCGGGCGTTTTATAATGTAGCTTGTCCACTTCTTTTTCTTCTGATAAATCACCAAATAAATCATTTGTGCATACATCTAATATGTAATCCAAATTCTCGTTTAGTTCACCAGCTTTGAAGTCAGATTTCAAAGCGTCTAGCACAGTGTGTATTGTAGAAACTAAGACGTGACATTGGAAGCCTTTCGTGAGTAGTAAAGTCAAGTGTTCGAGTAAGATGCCTAAGTAAGAAGATCCGACAGTTATCATGATTTTTTTGACGATATCTCTGGCTGCGATACGCACTTGTTTCAATGGAGATTTTAAGAAGGAACACAGTTTTATGATGATGCTGGAACAAAAAAAAATCCAATGAGCATAATAACGAATAACGCCTGAGCAGACGACGCCGCATCTCTTCAGTCTGCCCGCGACCATGACTCGTGCAACCGAGTTGAAACGTCGGGAAGGTAAATAAATATCTTATTTATCGTTATAAAAGATTTTGTTGCAAAATTCCGTGGAGTGATAAAATTTTATAATAACAAAATTCGGTATTTTCGATTCGAAACAGTGCACAGTGTAATAGTTTTGGACAAGATACCAAACTATTCCCACCTCTCGTTCCCACCGCTGCAACTCCTGTGTAGTTTAGATATAAAGCTTGACCATCTTTAAAAACCCAACCAATGAAGGTCAAGTTTGTCTTAGGGGTAAGTTAAACTGTCATTGGACCCGCAACGAAATTAATCAGAAGAACATAGGTAGGAGTTCGAAGTTAGGCCCAGAACAGACGGTGAAACGCAACTGCAACGAAACTGCAACTTTCTGATGAATGAAACTGAAACTGAAAGTTTCAAACTGGTCGCGTCATGTGTGGTCTCTCAACGGACGCTATGGCAGAAACTTAGATGCAACTCAAAAGTAACTAGCAGTTGCAGTTTCGTTGCAGTTGCGTTTCACCGTCTGTTCTGGGCCTTAAGGTTCGTCTTCTCTGCAGTACAAATCGGATGACAGGTGACAAAACAAAGGTTTAATAACCTTCAAGAAATAATAATAATAGTGTCAAGCTGAACACCACCTTACATGATTGTATTAGGGTTCACTTATCATCACTTACCCAGGCAGCTGGTGCCTCAAAGGCTCTCCAGGCAGTCGCTGCAGCAGTTTAACCAAAGCAAGCGCAATCGGCACTCGCATCATTTCTTCCTCTTGCCGTTCGATGCCCGTGCGGCGTCTGTTCACCTTGTGGGACTCCTCGTGATCTGTCATCTTGCCTATTGCTCTGGAAACAACAAGTTAGATAGAATAGAAAATTTACTTGACATAAAAAATTAAAGAAAATAAACATAGAGAGAAACAAGTGGAACATCCGTGCTAAAAAGCCACAGTATAATGAAGACATAAGAGTGTCTCAACTAGAGATGAAACGGATATCCGGCAACTATCCGGTAGGCCGGATATCCGGCCTAAATTTACTATCCGGCCGGATACCGGATAGTAACTCACTATCCGGCCGGATACCGGATATTAAAAAACTACAACAATTTCCTATTAATGAAATGAAATACTTTAATCTTAGAGGTAAACATCAATAAAATGGCTTATAATAATGACCGGTTTTATTTCAAGTCCAAAAAGTTACATAAAGCCATAATATTAAGGCCTTTAAAAAAAACTAATTTTTTTTCTGGGCTATATACTCTAATGACGAATACACAAATAGTAAATACAGGGTGACTTTTGTATCAGTATCCAAATTTTAATATAATAATCTATGAAGCGAAAGACAAAACACGTATTTTTTATTTTTGTATCGTCCAGTACAAAAATGTCAAAATAAAACACCCAGAAACAGTCTGAAAAAACACTTACACCGTGGTCACGGCTCACTCGCTTACGCACGCACACACGTACGCGCCTGCCCGCGCCGCATTTCATTCATTGCGAATTACGATTTATAAGTTGTCGATTTTCCCTTCATACTTTCACGGGCTTAGGACCGTCAAAATGCAAAAGATTTCAAAGTGGTAATTAGTTTTAATTAAACAGACTTACTAATTTATGGTAGAAAAATTAAATACCTACGACAATAATTACGCTATCAAAAAGAAAATAAAATCACCGAGAGCGGTAACAAAAGTACTTTTCNCATCGTTACGTTGACCGCACGAAGCCGCGACGGAACGATCGGCGCGCGCAGCGATACGCGCGTCTCGTAATGGGTTGCGCGGGCGACTGATTGAAGCGCCGCGCGCGCGGCCAGGCCGGCCGGTCGAGCGTTGCCACACGTTGCCAGCTCTCCGCTCGACCAGCTCTCCCGCAAAATGTTTACGCGCTAAGCGCGGTAACCACACTACGTGATTAATTGGTTAGGAAAAAAATAGTTGATGTTAAAATTTGACCTACCTATTTTTTATTAAAAATGTCATCTATAAACGATACCTAATGTCAGGAAAAAATTTGGATACTGATACAAAAGTCACCCTGTATACACGGTGGCCAAAACAGTGAGGTACATCAAGGTGTATCACCCTCATGTGTATAATACGATTTTGCTTAGTTTAGGAGATAGAGTTAATTTTGTGATATTTTAAAATTCCATGACCTAGTAGGCTTTAAAAAAAATATCTTATTTTTGGGTTGATTTTTCTCAGATTTCTTTTTTTTGACAGATTCGATATTAATTGCAGATATTTGAAAAAAATAATCACCTTCCTATCTTTGATGCAAGATACAAAAGTTTTGCTAGAAACATTAAATATATAAATAAAATATCATCATCATCTCATCATTTTTCACTGATGGTCTGATGTCATGATGATGCAGTTCGGTCAGATTACGCAGCAAGTAAACGAATCACACACTCACGAAGGCAACCGAAATCGCCCGAATTTATCTGCCCCCTAGACAAGTGGCAAAATCCGACATTCTATTCGGACTGATTCGATTTTCAAGTGTGACTAGTCTAGTCTACTAATAGACCCACTGATCGCGTTCGAAGCACCTGTGCGACGCTAAACTCGTCACGACATGCAACGAGACAATGGGCCAACTATCCGGCCGCCGGATATCCGGCTATCCGGCCTAGCAGCTGGCCGGATATCCGATATCCGGTATCCGGCCAAACTACTATCCGTTTCATCTCTAGTCTCAACACAATCTATACTAATATTATAAATTAGAAAGTAACTCTGTCTGTCTGTCTCTCTTTCACGCCTAAACCACAGAACCGATTTTGATGAAATTTAGCATAGAGATAGTTTGAGTCCCGGGAAAGGACATAGGATAGTTTTTATCCCGGTTTTTGAAACAGGGACGCGCGCGATAAAGTGTTTCTGTAACAGACAAAATTCCACGGAAAGCTAGTTTTTTATAAAAAGAAGAATATGAAAATGAAATCTTTAAAAGAACTGACATTATTACTCTGAGCAAATGTTTATCAATAACTAGAATATTAAATCTGCATGGCTGTTGCTGTTTTTGGAAAAAAAGGCGTTATCGACTATCACTAAATAGGTCAGGCTCTAAGCAGTAAAAAAATATGAAAACATTGACGGAGACAAAAATAATTAAGGACTTACCTATTTAATTGAGGGAGTAGACCAGCTGATAGTGACTTTATAATCCTCTTGGCAACGGAAGGTGAAACACTTGTGATCCGTTCAAATGCTGGCACGTCCGAAACTTCTTTAGACGAATCATCTTTCTCAGCTTCATCATCTGCCGCTTTCAATTCAGATTCTACATCTATTTCTACTTTGTCTTCTTCTGGCGTTTCATTCTCTTTTATTTCAACATCATCTGTTTCAGTTTTCTTCTCAACCACTTCGGCATTTTCACTTGTATCAGCATTTTGTTCTATTTTAGCTTTCTTTCTGCCTAATTTTATGGTCCCAGTTTCAGTATTAGTAATCAAAGCTTTTGGCAAATCGATGTTCTTAACTTTAGAGAAATCAAAGTGGAAAGCATCCAGGATGCCTACTAATATACGAGTCAACTGCTTTTGATGTTCTGTGGAATGACGCATTTTGTTCAAATACGTCTTTAATATTACTTCGTAATGGTACCATGGAAGTAACCTGCAGGAAGTCGAAATGACTTCGATGCAAGCATCTATCAACGTATTTTTGTCTGTGTACTTGTCGTCACAAATATACGTTGTTGCTAAAGGTAGAATGAAATTGGTGAGCGTCCTAGGAGTAGGACATTTCGAAACCTTTTTGGCAACTTTGCAGAACTTCATCAGAGCTCGAACTCGTCTATGCATTTGTAAATGACACATGTTCTCGAAGAAATCTACTTCAATATCTTCCTTGTTGGTCAGATGGGCGAGGTCAGATAATACCACGTCTGCGTCGGGTGATTCTCTGGCTAGTTCACCAAGCAACGCGATGCTTTCATTTCTGAGAATTTCGTTTTTCGTGTCTCTAATCCCAGAGGAAATCAGAGACAGTACTGTGTCTCTCACAAGGAATTGCCCATCAGTCATAGACCAATATTTGGAAAGGAGTTTCGGAAGAATTCTCTTCAAACACAGACCAGCTCCATCCCTAAGACCAATGTCCTTCTCAGTACGGATAGAGTAAAAGCAGTTGTTGACGATCAGAATCGCAAGATCTAAATCGATTTCGTTATTTTCTGAGAGCTGATATATTTTCTTGTAAGCGTCTATTCTTCTGTCAAAATCAGGCTGCTCTATCCACCTCTTATTGTATGCGTTCATTTCAGTAATGATACTAGCCATTCTGGTTAAGACATCTTTGTTTTTATCAGCATTCTCAGCGATCGACGAAAGCAATTTGATTAAGAGTTTCCTGACATCGACTGGTGCGACTTTATTGAATAGAACCGCTATGTTCTTTATGTAGATTTGGGGATTCGTGCTGTGGCCCAGTAAGTTTATTATAGTCGTCACAGCATGCTCCATGTTTTCTTCAGCCATATTCATGCACACCTTTTTGACTAGAATTGGCAACAACAAATTCAGCAGATCGTCGCATAACTCGGGTGTCGTGACTAATTCTGTCACTCTTGAGAGGATGAGCAAGTCTCTTCTATTAACGGTGTTCGATTTCGCCGAATTCGCTATACGTCGCTTCATGACTTCCAAAATACTTGGAATGTGCGGTATCAATATAATACTTCCAAAATTTATTTCCTTTACATTCTCTATGCTTTTGCTGTCAGTAGTAGGTAAGACGTTGAATGATTCTATTGGAGGAACTTCTTTCTCCTCATTATCTTCTGCTAATGTTAGCAGTTTCTCTATCATGTCCAAAATAGTGTTAACAACACCAGGAGTTGTTTTGGGTGCTAACAGCAATTGAAACAGTGCAGGCAATGGGCACAAAGTATTATCCTTTTCAGAAACTGTCACCAACAGAACATAATACCTTGGATTCTGGCACCATATGTTCAACAGTTTTAACAACGCTGTAGGCGTATGGATTCCTTCAATGTGTAATTTTGGAATCAATGGCCAAATAAGCGTCTCGTAAATGACGTACAACTCATCATTGCTCCAAGGATATTCATGAAACTGGTCAAATAGCTTTCTAAGTGTTCCCAAACAAAGTGTTCTGAGGTTCTTCATAATTTTGACATATCCAACATGGACTCTATCTCCTTGGGATAAAACAGCACCAACTAAAGAGCATACCGAATAGAATATTTTAAAGAATTGGTTCTGCAAGTCATCTTTCAAGTAACCACCAAAGTATTCCTTGACCACCTCAAAAAGATTCAATATACTGTGAAGCTTTCCAGGACTTGTGATTGATTTCAAATCCAAAGTAGCCATTGTGTTTTCGAGTATTTGCCTGGGCTCTAAGGTCAATTGTTGTTGTAAATGGGAAAAAGCCATTTCAATAAACATTTTCAACTCGTTTTCATTACAACCAGCTAGATATCTCATCACAAGGGATCTCCTCGCTTGGCCACCGCCTTTCTTATCCGCGCCTAATTTCGAAGTCATTTTTCCATAAAGTATCCTCAATATTATTGGAACAACATGCTGTCTGTCATCAGGCTGAATATTCTGGGAATCTTCTGTGATCTTAAACAAAGTCAGTTCATCTTTGAATTTGTTCTCATCAACCAAGTTGTACAAATTGCTTTTGTATGGAGTGACACTTTTATTTTTGTAGTTCAAAACGCAATCTAAAGCAAACTTCTGAAGTCCTGCATTTTTGTGTTTCAGAAACTCCATGTAAAGTTCCCAGAATACTGGTTCTTTGTGGAGTGCTCTAGGATTTTTGAATTGCGCCAGAACTTGCATTATGTTTATGAGTGTTTTGAAAATTATTTTGCCTGACGCTGTTTCTTTCGGTTCCTCAATAACTTCTGGAATATCTTCTGCATTTGCAGCATTTTCAATGGCCGACTCATCGACTTCCATTGCAGTATTATTACGAACTTCAACATCAATTTTCAGCGCATTTCCACCATCATTCCTTCTGTATTCACCCTCAATAAAGTTCAAAAACAATACCACTACATCTCGATTCTTAGCTTCACAGACTTGGACGCAGTTGGTCATGACCTTCAAGATCAAATTCCTGTAGTTGTATACATCTGGTCTCTCAAATATACTATTGTATTCTGTATACAACTGCCTCAGAAAGCTGTAGTTGGTGTCTATTTCACTATCGAATTGAAACTTCTTTAGATCCTTCTTGGCGTTTTCGAACGATATCGTCAATGTCTTGTAGAATGGTGGCCAGAATTCTTCCGCGGTAAGCGCATTACCATATCCAGCGATAAATTCTGAGACTGGTTCCCAGAGCAATTTGAAGTTTACATACAGAAACCCGAGCATATAGTTCAATGCAAACAAATGAAAATCTGTTTCTTTAGCAAGAGTGTACTGGGTGGTATTGAAGGTCATTTTTTGCAGCATGTTTATCTGAGCCCTGTACTCTTGGATGGAAGGTTGGATGGACTCTACGGCAAAGCATCTACTGAATATGGAAAATCGTTCAACACTTCCGCCAACTTGCGCAGTCTTTTCTAGCTCTGGGACATTTTCGAATAGCTTGTAAACATGAGTTGTCAGCAGACGAACCTGAAATGAAAAAGTGTAGTTGAAGAACATAAAAAAAACTACCATCGTAAAAACCATCATAGACTGCATCTCACTTAACACCAGGTGCGATTGCGGTAAAAATACCTGCCTTGTTATGCATTAAAAAATCTTTAACTCAAGAAGTGTTATAAGGATTTTTCCATAGATAGATACTTACAATATGAAAAGGCGACGACACGTTATTCCTCAGATATGAATCAATCAAAGAGAGGTGTGCATAAATTAATCCGTTTTCCTGTTCATATGCTGTCAAATATAAGTCCAGAAGATGCAATGCTGCCAAGTAATTAGGATCTGCAGCATATGGCAGTATCACACACAGGAGCATTTCAATATCACAGATGGTTTTCAACTTCTTGCAACTGGAAATGTGAATGGCACTTTCCAAAGCGTTTGCTAGTATAAATAACACTTGTCTAGCACACCTGGAAAGGGCCGTATTATCGCAGTGAAATTGGTTGTTCTCAGACTGCACTGCAATGTTATAAGTGTTCAGAACTTGCAGCAACTTTGCTATGAGCTTGCTAAGTGTCGTCACACAGTAATCCACATCTTTATTTTCTATGTGTGGCAAGCAGAAAAGAACATTCATTAACTTCGAAGGGTTTTCCACAATATTCTCCATATCGTCATTCAAGACAGTATTACAATGCTCCATGAAGTCAGGAAGACCAGCCCCAAAATCAACTGGGTATTTCACCCATTCGAAAAGTTTTATACCATTCATGGATAAAGGAGACTTTCTCAAACAAATCTTGGTCAATGTACACATTGCTTCATTGTCAAAGCCGGACTGAAGAACGAAATTAAGGAATGGGGGCAAAATGTGCATGTCAAACTGTGCATAGTCAATGACATTTCTTACAAAGTTAATCAAAATATTTGGGTAAGGCAATGGGAGTAGGACTTTGACAATGATCCCTGCATGTTCCTGGGACAGTGATACATTTGGAGATAAAAGCAGTAGGGCACCAATTTGGGCGCACACTTCGAGTACATTCTCAGAGAACTGTTCACATATAACTTTTACAAGCAAGAGCACAAACTGTGGAGGGTTGGTTAAGTATTTTCCATTCTGGTGTTCAACAACTTGACCTGCAAGCCTCAGAATGTATTCTAGTCCTTTACTTTCTTCATCATTCTCATTCAATATTTCTTCAATAAACCTGAGAGCACTAGACCAGAATATTGTGTACTCCTTGTGAGAAATAGTTTGTAGACTGTCTTCAATGGTTTGTGTGAGGACTTTGAATAGGACATCTTGATACTGTTTATCATCTTTGAGTGTCTGCAGTAGTAGTGGTAAGAAGGTGTCTATGCAACTATGGAACTTGTTACCAACTCCTTTTATCATTTCAAATAAAAGATGACCACATCCAGTGATAGCCTGTAAAATACAAAAAAATAAGCTTTACAAAAATTTTTTTTTAAAAGTTAGTCAGCCTTAGGTTGGTAAGAAAGTCTAAGTTGCTAAAAGTAAAATAAATACTTACATCATCATTTGTCTTCAAATAATTTAATAAAAGCTCAAGAAACTTCTTTTTATCTCGTATATCTCGGGCAACAAAAGCAAAACTTTCAGCTGCAAAATTGTTAATATACTGAGGATGTTCTTCACTAAGTAACGGAATTATTCTTTTCAGGACAACTGCTATGTCTTTCTTTAAATTCGGTTTTAATATTTTGAAAAGAAACGCCAGGCAAACCAAAGTCCATTCCAGCCTGTCTGCATCTTTTGTGTTTAATAGTTTTATGAGTATATCTAGAAATCTAGGAAACTGTGGGTAGAAGTCGTTGCGTAAATCCTTTGCTAAAGATACCAAGATTCTGAAAACATTAGATACAAATTAGTTTATAGTAGTTTTGTAAATAGATGAAAGAAATGGCATAGTAATTAAATATCAAGGTTAATCAAATAATAGGGTTTTATGTAAAATTCTATCCAGGACAGAAATGTAGCAGCATTTCTGCCCTGGATAGCTAGATGCATGCTTGCATCTTTGCCTTGTTAACACAATTTAGTTTCTTTTATTTCTTAATTTAGTAAACTTAATCCTATATTACTTGACATAAAATAGATAAATCACTTACTCCAATAAAGGCTGCAGACACAACTGATCCTCCAAATTGAGGTATCTCTCTAAAATGTCAAATACTTCTTCTTTTTTGTGAACCAGCTGAGGAACTGTGATGATTCCAAACACTTCTTTACGGAACTTCTTAAAGTTTTCTGTCAAGTTGAGAGCGTACCATTTCTGTATCGCCAGGTGAAAATGTGTGTCGTTTTCATCAGGATGCTGTGTGTATGCATGCTCGATGTGGTACAGAGCTGCATGACGGATGTCAATTGAATTGATACGTTCTGCAAATGGTACAAACTGCAAGAAAACATAAATTTGTTAGTGTTAAACCCAGAGAAAACTATATTTTTCTGCCAAGCAGAACAAATGAAATATTACACATGTTTCTAATGATCTCTGCTTGTGTTATTGATTATTTAATTTTGTGTACCATGTGTTTAAGGTTATATTATTATGAACTTAAATACTTAATTAGTATAATCAATTAGCTAAAGTTTATTACTCTGTAAGTTAGAAATACTAGTATATTTTTTGGGGATAATTTGGTTCCTCTTACGACTTAATTTCTAAGAACTTAAAACTTTCCTCAAATGTTGTGGTATTTTATTAAGCTTTATTAAATTAATAACCTAAGGTGTATCATTTATATAACAATATATTTACCCGGAATGTGTTTGTAGTTTTATGTTTCACAGGTTTACTCTTCATTTTTGTAAGTTTTTATCACATTAAAGTTTTTACAGAACGTAAACAAACCACACGTGGGGCTCCGGCTGCAAGTGCAACTGTCAAAAGTGTCAAAAAAAGTGACATATTCAAATTTTTATTTCTCGAAAAAAAAAATGCTAGAGACGTGACATCACCGGTGCGCCAAGGATTTGTCCCGGTATCGGTAGGTGACTCCTCATCGTCATAATGGGACAGTCTTTTATTCAATTTTTGACTTAGGTTCCAGTATTTTCAGTCCAACTTGTTGTGCAAGTCCACTAAATCGCTTTATACGTGTGTGTGGCTACCATAAGGGTCAAAACGCCACACGAGATGTAAGCGCAGGAATAACAAGTTGAATGTACACTTAGTAGGCAAATAAACAATTTGAATTTGAATTTGAATTTGACCTTATGAGTATTTTCCTCGTAGATTTTCCTTGAAGTTGTCCATGGGCTCGAATGAGGATCATTTCGATTTTTAGCTGTGAATGCAGATTTATAGGGCTAAGAAATCCTTAATACACAGTGCAAAAATTTTTGTTCTACGACAAAAATTGACGAAGTTATGGCCAAATTACTAAAAAAGTTCACTGACCGCCCGGCGCGGGGACGATGACGTCATTATATCCGATCCGAACGCTGCCGGCGTACTGCGTGGATAGAAAATATTTTTTTCTAGCCAAATTATCAGTTTTAGAGAAAAACTTGTAATGACATTTATTCATCAGAATAAAGTAAGCTATCGATAGGTAATTTTTAAAAATGGAAATTGTGAAAAATAACGCAAAAAATCCATACGCTCATACGATTCAATGGCACGCAGAGACGCGAATGGGGTCTCCGCGGTGGTATATTTGGGGGGGGTCTAGATGATGATTACGTCATCGTTAGTTATTTACGTTTTTTCGGGGATTCCCGCAAATAATACATATGCGTAGGCACTCGCTTTGAGAACTGATTAGGGGAACTACCGCAACATTAGGGAAATTACCGTGCGCTATTCACTTGTCTAATAATTTACTCTCGTGCCGACACTGCCCATTGAAATTTGAGAGTCGTAGTCCGCATATTAACCTCCCGCGCGCGTGTTTTGTTTGGATACTAAACGTATTGTAAGCATTGAAACTCTATGTGTATCAGTTAAACCTAATATTTTCATGAATTTTCCTATTTTAAAAATTACAATATAAAAAACATTTATAACTAAAAATGTTTACGTAAGCATAGGGGGAGGGGGTAAGTGCATTGCTTACTTTTGATGACAAGGGGGGCGGGGGGGTAAAAAATGGTAAGAAATCTGCTTACGTAATACTTGAACCCATTGCATCGAATCCTATGAAAATGAAAATGTCTAAAAACCACATTTTCATAGGATTCGATGCAATGCGGAGACGCGGTTGGGGTGAGTGTAACTTAATGATTGTTTGTATTGAACATAATTAGACATAGCAATACTTATTTTTCACAATTTTTATTTTTAAAAATTACTGGTCGATAGGTTACTTTATTTTGATGAATAAATGTTATTAAAAGTTTTTTTCTAAAACTGATAGTTTAGCCGGAAAAAAATATTTTCCATCCCATTAGTACGCCGGCTGCGCTCGATTCGGATATAATGACGTCACGCGGCCTTGCGTACGTTGACTTTTAGCGGCAAAAACGGCTTATGTTTATTACTTAATATCTTCGTAAGTAATGGTCCGATTTGGATAATTCAAAAAGATATATCTTTCTTATGTCTTAAAGATTAACGTAGATACTAGTTTTATTGAATTTTCTACAACAGTACTGATCCTCATTGGTACTGTGGTCTGTGATGATCTTATTCAGATTAACAATGCAATGACCTTAATTAGTTGTTTTTTTTAAAACAATTTACCGGTTTTTACTTTTTTCGGTTCATCAGTAGCTGTCACTGTCAGCTGGCGTTCGCCGAATTTTTTTGTTGACAAGTGAATTGAAGTGGTTGGTGTTTCAGATTTATTTAGTTAAAATTGGAAATATTTACTTGTGACTAAATTGAAGAATAATCTTACAGAGTTTATTTATTTATTTGTACCATTATACTGTTCAATGCTTGCCAGGATTGTGAACTCTTTGCCACTCGGCCTATCTCAACAGATAACGAAGCTCTATTTTCAAGGTAAGAATAGAATTTTATCGTAGGTAATAGGTTTGTAAACAAAATAATATTGCAGCTCTAATAATACTTTGATGTACTGAATGTATCTGTTTTATGTTACTGTTGTTTTTATCCAACGAAAACGATAGAACCGTGTTTATAAACAGTTTGAACAAAATAGTTTGCGTTTTGTGTATCATGTTTTACACAATAAATAAAGTATATACTTTCCAGAGTAGCATTATTTTGTTTAGGGTAACATGTTGTAAAAACAAACAGATTATGTGTATAACAAAATTGGTAAACCATTATTTAAATGGTGTGTACCATCTTTTCAGTGCTTTTTTGGCTTACCATACCATCAATGATAACAAATGCCAAGTTATCTAGCATTAACACTCGCTCCTCTACACAATCCAACCACTTCAAACATCTCAATTTATTTGAATTTTTCTTATTTAAAATTTTCAGCTTTGGTCCGCAACCAACGTGAAGCTCACAGCGCTATTGAGCATCTCCAGTACAAAAACATGGATGTGAAAATTCTGCCTGCCTTGCAAGACAACTACATGTACCTCATTGTGGATAAGGCCACAAAAGAGGCTGCAATCGTTGATCCTGTGGACCCTGGTGCTGTATTGAAGGCTGTGGAGGAACAGGGTGTGAATTTGACAACTGTGTTGACTACTCATCATCATTGGTAAATGTTATGTTGTTACCAACTTCTAAATTAGCTTCCTCTTATAATCATAGATGTAGGTATATCAGTCAACTACTTCTTCTGTTGCTATTTTGTTCTGAAATGTTAAATGAATCAACTACTTACATTTTCTTTACACTCATTTAAATGAGTTCTATAAAAAAAAAAATTCACTGTGTCACATAAAAAATATCTTCCAAATTACAGGGACCATGCAGGAGGCAATTCTGACTTAGTGAAACAGCATCCTGGTCTTCAAGTGTACGGTGGAGACGACCGCATAGGTGCCTTAACCAAGAAGGTTCAACACAACACTCGGTTCAATGTTGGGAACCTAAATGTGCAGTGCCTGTTCACACCGTGCCATACGTCAGGCCATATCTGCTACTTTGTATCTGCTCCAGAAGAAGGAAATGATCCAGCAGTTTTTACAGGTGATTAAACTATGATTAAAATAATCTTGAATCATATTGAATACCCATTTAGATGTGTCTAATTTTAGGTTTAAACGGTACTAAATATGTATATCAAATTATTCCAGAACTTTAAACTATAGTCAGAAAATTCCTGTCTTTCAGGTGATACACTGTTCCTGGCTGGATGTGGCAGGTTCTTTGAGGGTACAGCTGATCAGATGCACCAGGCTCTGATAAACATACTCAGTGGACTCCCAGACCAGACCAAAGTGTTTTGTGGCCATGAGTACACTTTACAAAACCTGAAGTTTGCATCTCATGTAGAACCTACCAATGAGGAGATAAAGAAAAAGATGGAGTGGTCTAAGGACATGAGAGAGAAAGGCAAACCTACAGTAAGAATATAAGAAATACTGCAGTGTGTATGTTTTTGCCTTTTTAATTAAGAATGTAAAGCTATGTTTTTTCTTGTAGGTCCCATCAACTATTGCAGAGGAAAAGTTATACAACCCATTCATGAGGGTAAATCAATCTTCAGTCATGAAGTTTGCCAAATCAAATGATGAGATTGAAACCATGAAAATTATTCGCCTCCACAAGGACAACTTCAAAGCTTGAAAAATATATTAAGTATATCAACAATGGAATCGTAGGCATTTGATTTGGGGCACAACCACAAGGACAACTTCAAAGCTTGAAAAATATATTAAGTACTAGCAGCCGCCCGCGACTTCGTACGCGTGGACCCCGTTTTACCCTTAGGGGTGAAGTTTCGAGGTTTTTAGGGTTTACCCGGAAATTATTCAAACTTTTCTCGCTGTAAAAACCATCCTTGGACTTTAACAAACATTTTAAAAAAAGAATTGGTAAAATTGGTCCAGGCGTTGTTGAGTTATGCGCTTACCAACACATTTTGCGATTCATTTTTATATTATAGATATCAACAATGGAATCGTAGGCATTTGATTTGGGGCACAATATATTTTTATTTTATTGTTGTGGATTTTTGTTATGAAATAAAAGTTAAAATTTTACAAGTACATTTCTGTTTATTGTTGTTAAACAACTCAATTCAGTTCCTTACATAAGCTGGAGTTTGTATTATTGATACCTTTCAAGATTAAAATTTGTAGCAAGTTTACAATGAGTTTCAAAATACAAAGTTATAGATTTATTGCTTTTCAAGCTTTTGCAATTCCAATTTACTAAAATCTGTATGAATGATGTACAAAAACTTGCCTTTATAATAAACTCAGAACCAGACAAATTAGAGATGCACCGAATGTAGATTAAACCGAATACGAATGTTCGGCCGAATATTCGGTTCAAAATGTACCGAACCGAATATTCGGCCGAATCATTCGGTTCAAATTTGATTAAAACTTAAATTACCAACTAATGTTGACTCTTAAAGTTTCTATAAATTTGTTTTTTAATTTCATTTGTGAACGGATGATATAATTTGTTTATTGTTGATTTTAAAGAATTTTATTTGACTTACATTGAATTAAAACTACAAATAGTTATAACAATTCCTAGTTCACCATTCACTAGCATACCTACATTCCTAGATAGATATTTATTTAAAAAAACTTATTTGATTTTATAAACATATTTGAATACTTGTGTTGGTTCCTTAAGATAGTAGTTATTACATTACAACTATTCTAAAAAAAGTTTTCTGAAAATAGTTGTTTGTTACTCAAAGCAGTTTTGGCAGTGTCCTTAAATTTTTCAATTTCATAAAAAATAAATTTATCTTTTTATTTCACAATAAATAATTGGTACAAGTAGTTTCTGGTTCATTTTCAAAAACTATAAAATACTTTCGCTATAAACCACACTTATTTAGTAATTAGTTAACCAAACTGTTTAATTAAATATTATTTTTTTAATTGTTAACAATACTTTTAATATTCGGTAATTATTCGGCAATTCAACCGAACATTCGGCCGAATACGAACATGAAAAAAATATGCCGAATGTACCGAATACGAATATTCAACCGAACATTCGGTGCATCTCTAAGACAAATACTGAATGGATTTTGATAAAATAATAACCACCTTTGAATTTGGAATGGAGAAAACATAGGTAACGGTAGCAAAGTTAGCTCAAACAAGTCTAGGCTGAGAGTACAGCCTTATTATAAAACGGTTATTCCCTACAATTACAAATTGCACAACTGAAAAGTTGCTGATTTTTTTTAGTTTTATTTCAATGCAATCAATGACGTTTTACAATAATTTATTAACCTAAATACCTATCTAGACTGAGATTTAAGTGAAAAAAATTAAATACAACCTTCATTGTCATTTTAGAAACCTTTACCACTAACTCAAATGCAACTTTCTTAGTGAACATTTCTGCAGAATCAACTACAGTTCTCTTGTTGCTATTACAACAACATTATTCATTATTATTAGCCTATCTTAAAGCTGACTATCACATTAAAATTAGGTGGTATCAGGGGGCTTTTGTCATTGTTCCTTTTTGATGTTATATGCAGATAATTCTTCAACATATTTTTCCTTTGATCTTTCAAATCTAGCAACATATACCTGGAAACATAAATTTTTGATTATTTACATTACATTACAATGAACTACACATCATCGCTTGCCTCTCTAACTGACGTAACTGACATTTTGCAAAATTTTCAGGCGATTAGACAGATCGATTCGTCTTGCAAAACTGATTATGATGGTGTAAACTCAAGTTTCGAAAAAAATGTCAGATACGTCAGTTAGAGAGGCAAGCGACGACATTAGTCATGAAAAATAGCTTACAGATACATCAAGAAAAATCTCACCCTTTTCTCATCTGTACTAAGTGATCTCCACCTGGAAGCCAGCTGTCTGGTCACTTCAGGTTTAGATAGCTCAGTTCCCATCTCAGAATTTGCTTCTGCTACTAACAGTGGTCGCTGTTCTTGGCAAAATATGAAAAATGCATTGCAAGGCTTTTTTGGTGCATTTGGATCTCTTTCAGGCTGAAAAACATAAATAAATCTTTGTGTAAGTAATTAAAACCCTGCTTTTTCTGATAACTATTTTCCTTTTTTGTTATTTAATTTTGCTTAAAAGCGAAATATATCCTTACCTTGTCAGCTTTACTTTTTCTCTTAGGTCCAGTTTTTTTGCCACCTGCTGTGGTTTGCTTCTCCGCTTGCTTTGAACTAGTTTGGGGTTTGTTCGTGGCGCGATTTGGCTTGACAATCACCTCGGGTCTCGATTCCACTTCCATCGACGCTGTTCTAAACCCATCTCTATGCCTATCCAACCTCTCTATCAACAATTTGATATCCTTACGATAGCGCTTAGTTACTGTCTTCGCTTGGTGTATCCTGCAACATCATCGAATGCCAATACATTCACAAGAACCTCTAACACCGAATAATATCGCTAAAAACACGAACCTATTCACTATTCGTTCATTATCCTGTTGCAAGACTTCACATCGTTCCAATAACAACTGATATTTTCGCCTATAAGTTTCTTCTTCGGGAGGTAAGCTAACCATATCCTCCGATTCGTCAGAAATATTCGAACTAAGCTGCTGGACTGTCATTTTAATTTATTTCACAGCTTCAAAGTTCAACGCGATCAAATTTCTTTTTATTTAGCTGTCGGCCTGACATTTTGTCCTATTTTCTAAATGTTGGTATTACACCAACGTTCGGATACGTCGAAACTGTGCATCGAAACGACAAAAGTAAATAAAAAGAGATCATAAAATTCTATACATACTGTAGTTTTCTGGAATATCCACGTCTTACTTGAATGGAATTTCGCATATTTGCGAAAACCCCTTGAGAAAAACTCAAAAGAAAACACAATTTCTTTACAGATTTTTTCAATTGTATAATCTGTGGGTTTATTCTACTAAATTAAAAAAAATGCACTTCCGGAAAATGCGACAGTCAAGACGCGGGAAATTCAAAATTTTAATAGCTAACATCCGGCGTCACAAGCCGCGAGCTGAAATTACCGGAATGAACATCGGTGTCCAAAATCGCATTGCGGCCGCGATTGCGCAGTTGTTGCGCAAGTCACATAAATATTCTATTTATTAACTTCGCAGTTCACAGCCTCATGCCACTCAAAACAAATTTTATCTCAGTATTTTATATCTAAATGTATTCAGACTGTAGTTTATAATAATTCGACTGTAAAGATTTGTCCTCGGATGGTTATCTACTTCGCAAGACTGCTACAAGTTGAGTGGATTATTAATAAATATTAAGCGGTTAGAGGTTAAGATTAAATCTGTGATGATAGCAAGTTTGTGGAAGTGACGAAAACTATTTACCAATGAGTCCCAGAAACAGAAATGAGATGGATTCTGGCGGTATCGAAGCGAACTATGTTTATTTATTTCATATTGTTATTTCTATTATATTTATTTTATGCTCTGAATTCTTGTTTAGTTGACGAAAAACAGGTGAGTCGATTTAAATAAATACATTTTCATTAATTAACTTTGATAACAAATTAAGTTTAAATGCGCAGTAGGTATATGTAAGCAACAGTAATATATTTTTGACGCTGGTGTCTTTTTTGTTTTTTATCCACAACAAAGATTTTTTGAATAATCTACTTTCAGTTGACGATCAAATATCTGTTTTTAAAACGTCACATATCGAGCTACAAAAGCGCTACAGTGCGCTTCGCTTCACTGCTGGGACTGGACTGGTCGGAGAACAAGTACAGACGGCTGAAGAACCAAAACTTGGTGCCGGTGAAGAGGCTGCCCGATGCGCTTATTATAGGAGTAAAGAAGTGCGGCACTAGAGCGTTGCTGGAGTTCTTAAGGTATTTTATTATTATATTTAAATTATGTTATTAAAAAAAGGAGTTCTACACGAGCTGATATTACAAACACAGCCTACTTAGAAGACTGATTAAAAACTAGCATGGCGCAGACCACCGATTTTTAGTTGGCCGATAGCTTAGTTGAGTCGGGCTGTTAATCAGTATGGAGATGTATGAAAGTGCGCACATTACACCGATTTGCTATCGGCCGATTCTTCATTCAAATTAAAATCGGGCCCAACGATCGCCAACTAAAAGTCGATGGTTTGCGTCTAGGCTTATAGCAACTCTACTGTGGACTCAAAACTTAAAAAGTCCCCAAGGTACTTTACTTAGCCTTAGTTTTTGAGGGTAGGTAAGCTTAATTTGTGTTCCAGGTTACATCCAGATGTCCGGGCTGCAGGATCTGAAGTCCATTTCTTTGATAAGTTTTACCACAAGGGATTCGAATGGTACAGGTAAGAAACTTATTTTTCGTATGCAATAGTGTCACATCTCAAGAAATTGATTTTTCGAGAAAATAATATTTTATATGCGCAAGTGATTAAATATCCTGCTTTAGAATAAATTTATAAAGAACTGAGCCATGAAATGTCCTTTTTTATAATTATTGTCTTTATTTATTTACTTACTACACCGCTAATATAAAGTTTCAACCTTTTAGGGACAGAATGCCCCCTACCCTCGAGGGCCAGATCACGATGGAAAAGACGCCTTCGTACTGGGTGACACGTTCGGCCCCCAAAAGGGTGTACGCTATGAACCCTTCAGTCAAACTGTTGGCTGTTGTTAGAGACCCTGTTACAAGAGCCATTAGCGATTATACGCAATCTGCCAGGTAAATGTGTCTCTGTAATCTGCAAATTAATATTTATTTTCAGAATTTGAAGTAACAAAAGAAATAGTAGCAGCGACTTCAAAACATTTTTTTTTAATTTTTTGATGGCCTAATGATTCGACTTATTTGCATTTTGGAATAATTTAATATTTTTTAGCAAAAGACCATCCCTTCCACGCTTCGAGGATCTAGCTCTGGTCAACAGCACAGTTGGCTGGGGTGGACCCTGGTCAGTAGTGGACGCGTCGTGGCCACCAGTGAGGCTTGGCGTTTACGCGAGGCCACTTCGACGCTGGTTGAGGAGATTCCCGCGATCAAAACTATTGCTGATCAGTGGAGAAAGACTGGTTGCTGATCCAGCTGCTGAAATGGCTAGAGTGCAGGTATAAAACTGGTGTTTAGGTTTCAATGTCAATATTTGTTACGTGTACAATTTTTTGTTTTCAAAAACCTATACTAAAAATAAAATGTTGCAAAGATGAACTACATAGCCTGGTTTTTTCAAATAATTTTAGAAACATTTTTACAGGAATTCCTGGGTCTCAAGCATGTGATAACAGAAAAGCATTTCTACTTCAACTCAACTAAAGGCTTCCCTTGCCTCTTGAAGTCAGAGAGTCGGCCCACTCCTCACTGCTTAGGAAAAACTAAAGGAAGAAGCCACCCTCATATAGATCCTGTGGCTATTGAAAGGCTAAGGGACTTCTATAGGCCTTTCAATGAAAGATTCTACCAACTTTCAGGTATAAACTTTGGATGGCCTTGATAAACTGTTGTGATTAATGTAGTATACGGCCAACGATTTATAAAGTTAAAGTGCCATCATAAAATTGTAATATAAGTATGTACTTGAGGCTATATTGGTGCATGGAAACTAAACAACGAAAAATTATGTATACGTTTTGTTTGCAATGAAATGAAAAATAATAGCATTTAAGAATAGTTAATTTAAGTACTAAATTATTGGTTAAAACATTAGTTCCTTTTAGTCTAAATATATTCTGCACATGAATGTAGCTGCTTCCAGTTCCTAGCTTTGATTAAGTATTCCTTATACATGTTCCATTGATTTTCGATGTTTTTTAGCTTCATAATTTATACGATTATGAAGCATGTTATTCAAATATCAGTTTAAAACTATCACTGTCCGTAACTATATCAATTAACGCGTCGACTAACTTGTTTAGCTTTAAATCGCAGTAAGTAATCTTCCTTCTAAAATATTTAATTAATTAAGTTAATATAATGACATAAGACCCCGCGTATCGGGATAAGGCAAGGCAGAAAAAGAAGAATATAGATAATAAGCCATATTGTATCGTCAATAATTTGGCCGAGATGTCATATTTATTTGCATTCATCAACGGCATCGTCCAAAACTTAGATACATTTGGTTTTAAAGAGTTGGAAATAACTTGACAATTTACCACAAAACGAATTTTAAACGATGGTTGTGTTAAGAGGTAAACGAAATGGATTAAGTAAACGTCATATTAATAGTTATTGCAATAATTGTCATATTTCTTTGCATTCATTGCAACAACGGCATCGTCCAAAAGTCATTTTGGTTTTAAAGATGTCTAATAGTACGTAATAATAAAATATATATAATAAATCTAACAATTATAGTGGTAGGTAAATGTAGTGGACGTAGTGGTGTAGTTTTTACAGTCACCACTATTATTATGGAAATGCCTGAAAAAGCTCAATTTGTAAGTTATGACATTGTTGCACACAAGGAAATGTAGAGTTTAATACATATAACGGATCGTCACCTCTTGTATAAATAACATTGTGATAAACGTGTTTGTCTGTTTAAGGTATTTAATAGCATTTCTGTTCTGTTTCTGTGATAACCTTAAGATAAACCAAGCATAGTTTACCTACTTTATTTGTACCTACAGGTACTCGACACTCGAATTATGTCAATACTTTTTATTGCGTTGCTTGCGTAAGTTCGTCATATTATAGATAAAATATAAATAAAAGTATTAAATAACAGAAAAAAAACAAGATATTGAAGTAATCTGCTGTTTGCTTGATTAACTATAATTAAAAAAATATCAACTATTAACAGAATTTTGATCAGATTCTCAATTTATTCTATCACAGGTTTTTGAAAATTGTTTGTGTATAATGTACAACTGGTACAACACACAACCTCGGTAGTTCGGTAGTTAGATAAATATGGTAATGTCACTATAGAAGAGACATTAAAATTAAAAACAATTAAGTACCTACTTTTTAAGAGAAAATAATAGCTCAATTAAAACACCTATTATAATACGATATTTTTAGATAGACATAATAATCGTTTAAATAATAAACATCGATATTTATTAGTAACATACCTACCTAAACTTTGATTCCCATTGGGGGTTCAAAGTTTAGGTAGGTACCGCTACCTCATAACTTTAATATTTTGAGGCTACATGCGAAACGAAACCAGATCGAAACTTAAGTATGAGTCCTGCCTGAGATTAGTTAAATTTTTAAAGATACAATAATCATGAAGTCTTGACTTGAACCTACTTTATTATGAAAATTGCACTTTATGATAACTCGCACAAAGCAAATATCGGCTTGTGATAAATATTGTCCTTAATATTTAATGAATGATACGGCGGCGGTCTAGATATCGATGTTTATTATTTCTTATCGATATAAGGCTCGCATTAAGAAACGACCTTCAAGTACGAATCTACAATTAAAAATAGATTCAAGTTTGTGATTGGTCGAAATATTTAAATCAACCAATAATATGCTTGGATCTACGTACGTCGATAGAATTTTGAGCTTTAAAAACTCTACAATTAAGCTCAAATTCGATTAAAACCCAAGCATAGATTCGACTTGCGAGAGGTTTCAACGAGCCTTAAGGCGCGCGCGCACGGGTCTTTTGTGACAGTATGGCTCTACATATACAGGTTGTTAGGTAAATGGGTATATTAGTAAATTTTGTAAAATCCGGTTTGTATGAAAATTAAAAAAATTAAAATGAAGATTTTTTTTTACTTCACCATACCATTTATATGCCCATGTTAACATGGGCTAGTGTCGGCTCATATGCCCATTTACCTAACACCCTGTAGAATAAGTACTACGTTGTTTCTTTTTCTCTTTATAAAAGTGTAAAAGAGAAAGATATGCTGTCACAAAAAGTCACCCGTGCGCGCAAAGCCTAGTAGTTATAATAATTTGCACTGAGCCATCCCAACACACGTGCCATGTAGACGCTATCAATTATTAAGCTTGCCAAGTTGTTAGATATTTAAAATAATAAAGTTGCCAATGATATAAAACCTTGTTTTATTTATCTTCACATAACATCAAGTATAAACAGTTTCACTTAGAATAAATAAATACCCGACACTGGGCAAAGTATGACATAAGTTATTCTAATATTTTTCCAAATTGGAAACCTGTTTTCGGTAACCCTAACGTGATGACAATTAATCAGTGTTGAATTTAATACTATAGATACACAATAAAGTTAAAATTCCAGGTACTGACCGCTTGGAACTGAGGGCTTAGTGTGATTTTACATCAAAAGTCGTCAGTAGTAGTGAGCGCGTTTAAAAAATCCATGAAGATTTTCTTTCTTGAAAGTATCCGCTAGTGACGACGTTTTTATGTAAACTCACACTAAGCCCTCTGTACTACATTACATGACTATTTGGATTGATTATTAAATTGGACACACAAGTGGTTCTTCTTAGCATATTTAGAGAATAATGTAGGCATGACATTTTAACAAGTAAAAATGTCAGCTGCCCACATTTTCCTTCAATAACTTTTACAACCTTACTATTTATTTGTAATAATAAATATTGTGTGTTTATACAAGATTAAACAACCAGTGGAGTAATAAAAATTATAGTATTTCAATTTTCAAAGACGGTTTTGAAGAGGAACAAAAATGCAAAAATCACACATACTTACACATAAATATACATGCACATTTAATTATAGATTAGGGAGCGACCCCCGACAACATATTTTTATAAGTGTGGTCACTGCCTAATTGTAAATGTCTCTTACAAAATACCAAGAGCCCAATTAAGAAAATTGACAACAGCAATAATATTGATCTTGCACCTAAATTTTTTTTTCTTGGCTTTCCCGGTTTAACTATATTATAGGTCGCTAGCAGCAACACTGTGTGATAAAAAGAGATGCGTGATGCTGTCGCCGTCACTTTGTGCCGTTACGTCAAACAGAACCGTTTTTTGCAACTATTTGACAGTTCGTTAGCATTTAATGGTACGCTGAAAATATGAACTCGAAGATTTTTTTATGAGAAATAGGGCTTAGTTCACTAGTGACTGCGTAAAAAAGTGACATTAAATGTACAGGACCCCTAGCGAATGACAGATTGTACAGCGCCCCTAGCGGATGACGTTTAATGTAAACTCAGACAGACTAAGAGCGCTTTCACATTTAGGCGATTTAGCAACGCGACAGTACTTATTCTTATCTATGAACGCGACAAACGCGCGACAGACGCGCTGCCGAAAATTTCATACTATGTGACAGCGTATGCTCACATTATAAAAACGCCTCTGCCGCGCTGCAATCGCGCTACTAACGCCCTAATGTGTTCATTGATTGAACAAAACAGTGAAATAATATAATCCTGACACTGACCCACAAATACGCAAGACGTCAGCGCGACAAGCTTAAAATACCTGTTAAATTATACAGACAATCGACAAAAAAGATAAAATACAAATCTTTGTGCAACCATCAACCTCAAGTGCCTTGTCTCTGGTTGCGCGACCAATAGCATTGTTGTCACGTTTGTTAAATAAAGCTCTTAACTTTGTCTAAATTTTGAATATGTAAATACATGCATAGCACACATAACTGACTAGGTCCAGCGGTCGTGGAGCGGTACATAGTTATACGCTATGCATGTAGTAAGTGCTTATTCATTTTCATAGAAACCCAAAAGGCTTTCAGCCTGTTTGGAAACTCGTTTGTTGCGTTCAATACGTAAAATTGGATATCATACCTACTTAATTAATAAGTCTTATCACATTGTAATAATAAATAGTTTACCGCAGCTCGTTACACGATACGTAGACTGGCAAATCGCTAGGGTTCATCTGTAGGTAGGAAATTGATCCAATACCAACTACAGCGAATAGGATGGTCACATCGTCTTCATACTTGGCGTGGAGAGATGCAATGTCCACACCGAGAGGGCATGCAGCGGTTTCTCTGAAAATAAAAGAGCAAAAGTGAAATTGAAATCCGCATATTCATTATTTAATACAATTATAGTAAATAAAGAAATTAAGTTTATACTTACTCAATACACACAATCCTAAAATGCGGTTTTGGTCTGCTCGCCTTCCGGAAGTTTTTGACATCTCGGTTGTAAACATCAAAATCGATTGAAAGATAATTGTTTTTATCGATATCACTATTATTTTTTATGATACTCAATTTCTTCAACACGGCAAGCATGTCAGTACAATCATCCAGTTTCACCAAAGCCTTCAAATCTATGTTATTATTATCCATCATTGCTCTGGTATCGAGAAGTGCATTTGTATCTTCAATATTTTGTAAAAATGCAATTTTAAGATCTACCCAGTTGTCGAATGACTGGTTTTTATAGAATTCTGTTATGAATTCGTCATTCTTTGTTTGAATAATTCGCGCAATCATAATATCGCGTTGAGTTACTTCAGGCCTGCCAAAATCATCGTCATTTGGCACCCATGTTTTTTTGAATGCCTTTTCTAAGGAAACTTGATTTGAGCTGCCTGTCTGTGCAAGAGAATCGCCTCTAGTATTTCGAGCTAGCCTCCTCAGGATGTTGAAAGGATTTCTCAGTTTCTTTCCCGTATTCTTCGGTTTCACTTCAACAACCGAATCAGAATCTGAGTCAGAATCCAGGTTAATGAACCGCTTATCTATCACTTGAAAATTTTCGTTCATATAAATTTCAGCTTTGAATGATTTGTTGAATGTTTTGATGAGACCGGACAGTGCTCGCCGATGTCTGCCAGATGTTTTATTTTGGACTTCTAATGATCTAAGAGCGTTTGCCATTTGTCGAATTTTGTTCAGATTTTCATGAAACAAATCGCATTTCTCGTCCTTTTTGGGTTTTTTGGCAGTAGATGCTTCATCATCATCCAAATCAATCACTTCCACTATGTTCTCATCGTTTACAACTTCATACTCTGCACTTAATCGTAACTTGGTGAGATATCTATCATTGTAAGTAGTAATGATTTTCTGGAGTGCCTGGATATTCTCAGGTTTCACATTTCCATTGTCGCACAGGTGTTTGAGTTTTGCTGCCAAATTTTTTATGGCCTCAAAATGTAATGATTTCGGTGACGCCTTTCGTCTCTTTCGCTGGTTTTTTTGAGTATTTCTAGGTGGGTTGTTAGAGTACCCAGGGAACGTTGGCATGTTTTGCATCCTTGGGAAAAATTGAGATCTTGGATTGAAGGGCATGTAGGGTCTTTGGTAAAATAGATTGAATTGGTAATAGTGAGTGCTGGGTCTGTAGTACGCATAATGTCTATAAGGTCCGGTGGGTCCGAATTTTTGGAAAAATGTTTGCATCGGACGAGGATTTGACGTGGTGGTCAAGCCAGAACTAGTTACTCTTTTAATATGAGCTCCGTTCACTTCATCTGATAAACTGTATGTTGCTTCGGACACTGTGTTGCTATTTTTCTTTCGAATATTCTCTACATTGATAACATAATACAATTTGTTCAAGTAAATGTTGTGAGGGATGTAATCATCATTTGGCACTTTTATAGTAGCAACTTGGTTTTCCAATAAATCAGGGCAATTCTCGAATTGTTGGTGAATACTTGTTTTAGATGTTTTGTCTTGACGATTCATAAGTTTATGCAACTTCCATTGACAGTACCTTTTTAAAGGGTCTATATTTTCACTGTCATTTGTTGAGCATGCATCAGAAACATTAATATTATTCATTGTTGCTCCACGGATTTGGTTCTGCAAACTTCTATCACTGTTAGCATTTGAGTCTGAAAATAATAATTGGTAATTTAATAATTATGTAGCAGTTTTGTGAATCTTATGGATATACCTATTTGTTATTAAAAAGCTTACCTGAAGTTTTATCTACATCCATTGATAAATCTTTATTTGTCTCCTCATTGGTATTATCATTGGTTTTCACTTCATAGGTGTTGTTATCACTATCTTTCTCTTCAGAAATAATAACACATTCTTCTTCCATCTCCTTATCACTAATTATAACTTTGTCTGCATTTTCTTTAGGTTTATCTGGTTCATCTGTTTCTATCACAATGGGCGTTTCAATCTCCATCTCACTATCTTTTGTTTCAACATTAGATTCTACTTCCAAGTTATTATCACCAGTTTTTTCTTCTTGAGCATTTTCTTCAGGTTTATTTTCATCTGCTTCTGTCACGATTGGGATTTCAACTTCCATCACATTATCATTATTTTCAATTGTATTGTTCCCATTAGATTCTTCTTCTAAGGTATCACAAGTTTTGTTGCCTTCTGCATTTTCTTTAGGTTTATTTTCCTCTGTTTCTATCACAATTGGCGTTTCAACCTCCATTAAACTATCTTTTGTTTCAATTGTATTGTTTACATTAGATTCTTCTTTTTCCAAGGTCTCATCATTAGTTTTTTCTTCTTCTGCACTTTCTATAGGTTTATTATCATCTGTATGTGTCATAATAGGTGTTTCAACTTCCATCACACTATCTTTTGCTCCAATTGTGTTCAATTCACATGCATTTTTAGGTTCATTACTGACAATGTTTAGGTTTTCAACCATTTTTTCATTGGTATCATTGTTTTCTGACTTATTGTCAGTAGTTTTTTCATCTGAAGTTGTAACTGTCTCTGATACATTGGTTTTAGTAACATTTTCAGACTTTAAATTGTCACTTTTATGCTCATTAACTGGTGGTTCTACTTTGGGGACGTGTTTAAAAACTTTGTACCCCAATCGACTTAAAGAAGCATACACTTTGTATTGGACGATGGTAATGTCATCAGAAAGTAACAAGGAGTAGGCTTGCTGAAGTGATACTGTTACTCCATTATATTTCAATACCAGGCAATTCTGAAATAATTTATTTACTTATTTGACTTTATTCGGAAAACAAACAGTTATTTGACTTAATAACTAATCTGATATAAAGCTTTACACTAATTATATGTTTTCACGCACAATAACTGAGAAAATCTGTATTACAGCTAAAATATCTTAAGTTTATTTAATTTGTAAAGTATTTTTTTTTTTTTTTTAAATATTATTACCAATTTGTATTGCCCAAATTACTAATAGTCCCATTAGCCCCTCGTGGTAAGCTAAATAAGCTTGTGTTACGAGTGGGCTCACCACAATAGTCGAGCGGCGGTGGGATTCGAACCCGCGTTCCTCGTATCTCCAGTCGGCCACACCGACCCCTTCACCGTTCGGCTATCGTGGTTTTATTATAAGTGTGTTTTAAAAGCCTATTTGCAGAAAATAATTTACTTTTAACACTTTATTAAATGAATTTTGAAATTAGGTAGCATTTTGGAACCGCAGCAGCAGGAGACAATAGACGTCTAAACATTCGCATTGCAAATCTTGTGACATACATTAATAATAATGATAATTTCACTATAGCACTTTTCTGTTTAGTGACGAGATATAAAAAGTAAGTACAAACCACTTCAATCAAAAACAAGGCTTCTTCAGGTCTCAGGTACAGCTTCTTATCTCGGTGGTGTCCAAAGAACTGCCAATGGCTACCAGACTGCTTGGTGACCTCCGCAAGTTGAAGCTCATCTTGCCACTCTGCGTGGCTCAGTATACCGCTGAAATACAAAAACATAAAATTGTAGACACACTACATGTTTACAAGTATTATTTCATATTTATTACATGTACCAACTATTATTATATTTTCAAATCTTTTATGAAACAGAAATCAAATCATATTATAATAAGTATTTAAAAAGATTTCTAAATTATGAATTTAAGGTTTTGTGTTTAAAAGGATAGTGCCAGGGTCTGGACCAAGTGCTGCCCAGAATCAACCCATAGTCCTTTTTGTTCCTCGGATCAATACTAATGTGTAAACCGAAGCGCACTGCAATCTATCCCTGGAGTTAAGAGAAAAAAAGAGTTTTGTTTTGAAATATTTACATACAAAATATCATCGATGTATACGTACTACGCATAAGATTTCGCGATTTTGGCATTAAATAACACTCGCTATGTTGAAGTTAACCATACTGCATCCGTACACCTTACTTTAGTGCGACTTAGACATTCTTTATAAGCGATCTAGCGCTGTTGCAATAGTTTGGTTACTTGACAGAAATCGTTATTTCCAAAATGAATCAAGAAGTTTTAGTTCTCTATCCTTGCGAAAAATCAATTTATTGGTGTATTACAATGGATTATTGAAGTTATTGTAAGCTAAAACTTCTTGCTCTATTTTGGAAATAATTAATTTCGGTCAACTAACCAAACTACTGCAACAGCGCTTGATCGCTTATAAATAATGTCGAAGTCGTACTAAAGTAAGGTGTACGGATGCAGTATGGTTAAGTTCAACATAACGAGTGTTAATTAATGCTAAAATCGCGAAATATTATGCGTAGTAGGTATACATCGATGATATTTTGTATGTAAATAATTCCAAACAAAACTCTTTTTTTCTCTTAACTCCAGGGATAGATTTCAGTGCGCTCCGGTTTACAAATTAGTATTGGCCTGAGGAACAAAATGCACTATAGTTTCTTTCTGGGCAGCACTTGGTCCAACTTCCATACATGGATTGGCACTGTCCTTTCATAATTTTAGTTTGTTTTTATTCCAAATGAAATAGCACAGCCAACAATCAAAAAATATATTTGAATTTTATTTTACTAGTCTTACAGTCTTCATCGCAATTATATTCATTATCATTTTACTCTACCATAAAACATAATCTATAACTCCATCTTTTTGTAAATAAATAAACTATTTTTTTCCATCAAAACATACAATTATCAGCTCCAAAAGGTTCAATATGTGTGACACCTACGTAATAATCGATACTCAATAGGTAACTACCTCTTTTCAATCCTTTCAGCCTCGACCAAGTGCTTTCTCGCCTCCAAAGCAGATTGTATCTGTTTTCCCTCCAGCCAAGATCCATCCGGCTTCACATCTTTCAGACCTACCTCAGGTAAAGTCACATCGATCTTGATAGCACCTTTATCCACTATTTCTTCTCCCCTGGCAAATGAACAACCATATTGAATCGGTACAACAAAAATAATCTGAAAAATGTTTACACCAGAAACATAGCACGCAAACTTACGATAACAACTTGGATTTATCCATTTTTCTACAGTATTCTTACATTGGTAGTAAATTAAGGGGTATCTAAAACAATTTTAAAACTGAAATAGTCCCAATCAACCATTTAGTCTCAATTAATTTTAATAAAACAAATTGCTGAACCACGTTCGGAATCGGCGAATTTCGACGAAAACTGTCAAAGTGACAAATTAAACGTCAAATGAAATTTTATGCGTTCCGATACACGCCTAATATGTGTAAACGGAGTTTTTGGCAAGGTAAGGTTATAGGCATCGTCTAGTTACTGAAATAAATAGTAGAATTCCTAAAAAGTGAATAGCAGAACTAGTCAAGTTCACGAAATAATATGTGCTAATTCTGCTCGCTGCAGGTGTTGGACTCAAACTATTTTTTAATAATAATAACCTTCTCATATGTAGTATCATTAACTCCTCGTACTGAGCTATTATTATACCTAGTTGTGTTACAAGATTTCACCACAATAGTTCAACGGCGCGGCGGCGGGGTTCTGGTAATGGGGGTAAGAATTAAATTAAATAATATTGTACAGTCTAAAAGCCCTACAGTCGTCTGGGGAAGTCTTGGGGTAGTTATCCCTTCATNCTCTAGTAGGTACCCATAGTACAAGCTTTGCTTATTAGCTTTGCACCTACATGCGGCATGCCAATTACATAGTATATTGTCTTCACCAAACGCGTATAATCATAATTAGTGCTCCAGTTACTATGGTTGTCGCTATGGTGTACTCATGTCGTGTCTAATGGTCTTGAACTAGCAGTATTTTCATTGGCAAAGTCTCAGGTGCAGTTAATAAGTTAGAGAATTCAACAACTGATATTAAGTAGGTAAGAGTAGGCGCACATCGTTGATTTTTAGTTGGCCGATTGTTGTGCCCGATTTTAATTTGTATGAAGAATCGGCCAAATCGAATCGGCGTAGTGTGCGCACTCCCATACATGCCCATACTGATCAACTGCCCGACTAAACTATCGGCCGACGAAAAATCAACGGTGTGCGCCTACTCTAAGTATTCTTTGTTTAAATTACCTCAATCTCAACTGATGTAATTTAATCAGGTTATAATAAGAAAAGACCATTAATGTTGGAAGAATATTTTAAACAGCACGTCGAATTAAAAAGCACGTCACTATGTTTGTGGTTTACTTATGTCGCACGGTGGATCGAAATGGCATTAAAGTGGACATAGGGATTTTTTCCGGAAAATCGAATTTTAAAAATTGCCAATCGATAGTCCTTTGCTCACTCATCACGACATGTCATATCACATTTTTCTCTAAACCTGATACTTTAGCTTAAAAAAAATAATTTGTGTTTTTTTTGTATGAAACGAGACATAAAGTGCTAATTTTCTCCGAAGACCTGCTAGATCGTGACTTGAAACAANTTTCCGTCTTTGTTATTCTCATTGCGCGTCATCTTGGCGTCTGACAGAAATATGGATATGAAATCACTCAAAACTCAGTCGACGACCGATTTACTAGTGTTTTGCTGAACTAAGCTTTGTAACAAAATCGAATGATTTGCACAAAACTTATTATTTGGTGCTGTAGAAATATTCAAAGTGGTTGTTGCTTAAAAGCATCACTGCCAAATGAAGGGTTATAGGACTTATAGGTACCTATGTGAATATAACAACGTTGAGGAACCCTGCCTACAGTGTGTAGACAAATGATACTATTCCCGGTTTTGACATTATCTCTACGCCTCATTTAACTCCATTAATCTTTGTATTCACGAGGAAATCCGAAGTGAAACTTGGATGATTCCTATTTCCTATGTATGTAGGTATGAACGTTTGATTGAATAAACTCTACAGAAAATACGTAGCAATTATATTGTTTATGTATGAAACATTTTCTAAGCCTTCAAAATATAAAGATCTACAGGGTGGAAACGTTAAGTGATCTCACTCGATTATTTCTAAACTATACAAGATATCGAAAAATTGATTACTGATTCTGAAAGTGCTTCACAAGCTCTTTCAAACGGTAGCAATAATAGGTTACAGAATAAACTGGATCTATCCGAAAATTCAATGTTTTCAGCTTCCATACATGTAGTTAAAACCACGTAATATTAAAAACTATAAACCAATGTTTTAAGTGTTTATTATTGAATAAAAAAAACTTCTATTATTGTTTGGCTGGCATACATTTAGTATGGAGGCTGAAAACATTAGATTTTCGGATAGATCCAGTTAATTCTTTAACCCAGTGTTTTTCAACCTGTGTTTGTTGTTTTAAAGATCGATTTATCCGAAATCAAATTATGCAAATGCATAAATGTTTATACAGGGTGTTAGGTAAATGGGTATATGAGCCGACACTAGCCCATGTTAACATGGGCATATAAATGGTATGGTGAAGTCAGAAAATGTATTATCATCATTTTAATTTTTTTAATCTTCATACAAAATAAATTTTGTAAAATCCGATTTGTATGAAAAATAAAATAATTAAAATGAAGATATCAATTTTTTGTCTTCACCATACCATTTATATGCCTATGTTAACATGGGCTAGTGTCGGCTCATATACCCATTTACCTAACACCCTGTAGATTGAATAATTCGGTCCCTACAACATCTTTGTAAAAGGCATGAAAAAAAAAGCGAACGGTCGGGGGGTCGCAAAATTTTTTTTCATACTAGGGGGGTCGTGTCATGAAAAAGGTTGAAAAACACTGCTTTAACCTATTATTGGTACCATTGGATAGAGCTTGTGAAGTACTTTCAGGATTAGTAATCAGTTTTTCGATGTCTTGTATATTTTAGAAATAATCGAATGAGATCACTTATCGTTTCCACCCGGTATGTATTTAAATACAAAGAAGGAAATGGAAAAACCATGTGAAGTTTTCCATATCGGCTAAAGACTAAAGTTTCCCAGATTTAAAATGGTCTGAAAAACGCTTAGCTGTAATTTCGCCGTAGTATAATTTTCAGTGGTGCAAAGCAAAACGATAAGTACTGAAACAAAACACGGTGCACTACAGAAGTCAAGTTCGCGTGACCGCATCGTAGCTTACGCCATACGCTACGAAGTTGTAGCCACTACGCGGCTACGTTGTAGCGTAGCGTGTCGGTGCATATGGCGACGCGTATCGATCGCGGAGACAGCCGAGTCCGCCCGAGCGCGTTCGACCGCCCCCGAGTCCGCCCGAATCGCGTCCATACATAGCGGAAGTAATGAAATGTACAGAAAGATATGAACCGGAAAAATTGTCGCTCTCCTTTTTCTTCGCGTCGCGTCTTATCCGGGTCCCTAAAAAGGCTTCCTTTGTCGGTTTTTCCTTTCAACGCATTTTTCCCCGGATAACGAATGGATGTTATATGCAAGACGACGTTTTATTGTCTCTCTGTTTAATATTCTTTAAGCTGTTTGCGTTTACGTGTGTTGTATTTTCATATTTTTTCTATTGTAATAAGAGTCGGAATGAGATTGTTTAGCTGAGCATGTAGTAAAGTCATTAAAGTTTGAGTTAATTGGCGTTCATGGAGAAAGGTCAGACAGGGTGTCGCTGGGAGTTCCCAGGTTACGACCGCGGGCAGCACGGGCTGGAGGCGGTTTGACGTATTGTTACGCGAGTAACCCGCCCCCGCCGCCCGTAAAGCTTACTACGATAGTCGTAGATTCACGCAAGGCAACGCCGGCCGGCATTGATCCTCATATTTCCATTTTGCTTTTAAATTTCGAATGTTTTTTCGAAAATAAATCGAGTCGCCCGTTCGCACCCGCCCGCGATCGAAGGAGGGGGGTGGACGCACCCCGGATACGTATGATGTTATTTATGGTATATTTTGACGTGCGCGCTCGCTGCTAACTTCAGGCCGTGCAGGATAATGGGGTGATGGATAGTGTTATCGGTCGCTATTCACCGAGAATCGTGTTTAAATCGTGCTTTTATTATTGTCGTGTGCTGTGGAAAACCCAATAACTTACAGGATTAGCATAAAGCTGTGTTCTTTCAGTGATCGTAATAAGGTTGTACCGACCGGCGTTTTCTTCAATGCGGGCTTTTATATTGAATCGCTCGAGACAATTGGCTTAATGAATCTTGTTATGTTAAGAATAAATTGCGAGCTTTTGGAAAAGTGATGTGATTTTTGTGAATAAGATCGAGATCAGACCACAATTGCTACTCGGAAAAAACATAAGGTTAGTGTATTTAATTTTGTTGTATAGATTTTATTTTAAACTGCTAATAAATTATATTTACCAACTTAATTAGGTATAGTAAATATAAATGACTTAAATAAAACCATCAAAATAAAGATCCAAAAATTTTACTTTTTGAGTTTGGAATAAGATCTACAAAAGTAACAAAACCCCAATATTTAAATGTAATAAAATCAATACCTATGTAAATTAAAAAAATGTGATAATTTAATATAATGAAACGTGGATTAACTACTATTCCCGTGTATTAATGAAACGTCTTCTTCAGTTAAGAAACGCAGGCATATTAATTTAAACAAGGATGTCATCTGTTTACATTTATACGGTAGGTGCACTGATTACGTTCTATTGCAGCTACATAAATAAACCAAGCGACTTGCATGAATATTTTACGTTTAACGCCATCTATTATGCACCTTGTGAAACGCGTATTAGTTTCTGATCCTGCCGCGCAGAGCAGCGCCAAAGTGTCAGTCGCCGACACGCCTGCAGTCACGCGGCGTTGACGCGCGTCGCAACATGTTTGCGTGGGTGTAGATCGCTCCGTGATACCAATTAACACTACTGTGTTTGCTTCCTTATCAAATCTAATAAGTGTATATAAGATCGTTGTTGTGATTTACCGGCAGTACCTGCCACAGATAAAGCTGTGTGCGTGTGAAATAAATGAGAGTGCAACAATTTGTGTATGTGTTTTGTTGTTGCTGCGACCGGGGGCAGGATTTTGGCCGTGCAGTGAAGGTCTAGGGCCGGTATGAGAAAAATAAACGGTGAGGATGCAAATTCAAGAAAGCTTGAGTTTTGTTTTTTGCATTGCATGGAGTTGGGCTTAATGGAATGAAGATATACACTTATAAAAATTCCTACCTCAAAACATTAAATGGACATGTTGCGGTCAAAGATAACGCAATGGACATACGAAACGAACAAGTCAAGCAGATAACTTTTATGTTTTCAAATAAGATAA